TGCGTTTACGTGCTCTATAACTATTTGGAGGCTAATCCTCGGGTTCCTTGGGAAGACTTGAGGTATCTATTCGGAGAGATCATGTACGGCGGTCACATCACAGATGATTGGGACAGGAGGCTCTGCAGAACATTTCTCGTTGAGTACATGCAACCGGAATTGGTAAAAGAATTACTGCTCCTTATAGTTTGATTCCAAGGTAGTTGGGGAGAGTAAATAATATATTAATTTGTCATTATTTTTATAGGTTGATGGTGAACTGCAATTAGCGCCCGGATTTATATCTCCCCCTAATTCTGATTATATTGGCTATCATCAATACATAGACGATTTCCTACCTGAAGAGACTCCATATCTATATGGTCTTCATCCTAATGCAGAAATTGGATATTTAACAACTGTATCAGAACGTCTCTTCAAGGTGTTATATTTTATTTAACTTGTTTCCGTTCCTTATAATCTCGTAAGTATCTTTCAAATTGACGTATTTGTTTTTGTCATAAGGTCGTGTTCGAAATGCAGCCAAGAGACAGTGGCGCTCAGGCCGGTGGAGGCGCTACCAAAGAAGAATTGGTATTTGTGAATTTATCGTAGCTAACGTTAAGTTGTACAGCAGTATTTTGGTTATGTATCGATGCTACGATAGCTTGGTAAATTAAATAAACCACACACACCTATTTATCGTGTAATTTCCCTAAAGTGTGAACGAAAAGCATAGTGCCTGAACTTCTAAAACATCATGATTACCAAGTTAGAGTATTTTTTGAAATCAATAAAGTAATGAAAATTGTTATAGGTACGCTACATGCTAGACGACATCTTAGACCGGGTCCCCGAGCCCTTCAATCTACAAGAGCTGATGGGAAAGGTGGAAGAGCTGACTCCTTATACGATTGTCGCTCTGCAGGAGTGTGAACGTATGAACCGATTGATGGGTGAAATCAGACGATCTCTGAAAGAGTTGGAGCTTGGTTTAAAGGTGAAGTCATGATTTTGATTCTTTGAGCCTACCGACAGTATGGTACAGTCCATCAAGCGTTCTGCAGAAATAACTCAATAACTTGTTATTTAAAAGTCATTTATCGCCGTAATGGGGGCAGTATTAAAGTCTTCTACGGTAGCTCCCCTACCTTGCTATATTTCTATCTCAGGCGTTCTATCTCAGACGGGGATCAGTATGCTTAGTGCGAGTTTTTTTACTTTCTCGATAGGTACCGTAAAAGCTAGCCCAATTTTGTATGCAGTTGGAGCAGCGCCCCTAGCGGCAAGCGTAGGCAGACGATTCCATACAAATATGAGCTAACTTTTACGCTATCGAGAACATTAAAAAACTCACACTAAGCACACAGGCGTCGGGTGAGAATACAGGGGAGTCGTTTAGTGGGTAGGATTCAGTCATTTTCGCCCAACGAGTAGCGCATACCCCACGCATCCCCAGTCGCGAAAAAAAAGCTAAAGAAGACGAAGAAATATTAAAAAGTCTTCTGATGTTTTAATGTCCTCTTATGTCAATAAAGTGGCTTATTTTTGAGATAAGAATGAAATTACGTTTGATCCTTCGCGTTAGAAATAAGAACTATATTTGTACGCTCCCGTTAGGATTTGCAACATAACTCATACTCTATCACTAGTACTCCAGATAGAAGCTTAGGATAATGTTTGTTCTATTCGAACCTATCTATAATCGGAAAATGGTAACAGAGACGGAGTTCGGATATTTTCTGATTAATAATCTGGATTGTTTTCAACTTATGCGGTTATTTACACTATAAACACTATTATTTAACGGGCTCTTAACACGACTTTGAGTTTTAATAATTTTAATATTTCGTAGCCAATGTTGAGGCTCTCTATATCCTACCCGCAGTCCACCCGTGATCATGGTCCTTGCAGCCGAATCGAAATATTAGGGACCCATTAAAACTAAAAATCGTAGCCAGAATCCGTTTTAAACATTATTTATAATAGTAGTTTGAACTCGAACAGAATATCATCATCTAAGACCCTCTGACCTGACTTTGATACGCGTTATCAACGATTGGCTCACCCATTGACAAATTTTAATGCAAGAGCAGTATTATATTTCTTGGTAAGCTGGTGTTGATTATTTGTTTCGACCCAGGGTGAACTCACAATCAGCAATGACATGGAAAAGCTAATGGAGTCACTGTTCATGGACAATGTCCCGGACTCGTGGACCAAGCTTGCGTATCCCAGTCTACTGGGCTTGGCGGCGTGGTTCTCGGATCTGTGCCTGCGTTTGACTGAATTGGAGAATTGGTCCGGTGACTTTAATGTACGTTTATTGATCCGTATCAGTCTGTTACTAAAAAGCTATAATCTTGCAAGATTCAAGTAATTTAGAATGTGCCGTTGAGCAGTAATGTTACCTGTTATTTGTTGAAATTTCTAGCTAAATATGACGATTTTTGTTGTTGATTTCATTGTTGTAATCTATTTTAGCTACCACCTGCAGTGTGGTTAGCAGGGTTCTTCAACCCGCAGTCGTTCCTGACCGCTATCATGCAACAGACAGCCCGAAAAAACGAGTGGCCTCTAGACAAGATGTGTCTCAACTGCGACGTCACTAAGAAGAGCCGACAAGACTTCAAGTAAGCACTATAGTTCCATCGTAGAAAAGTTTGCTTTATTTCACAGAGCTCAAACTATTTTCATAGCGAAATTAATCAAAATCGATTCAGTGGCTTGAACCACACAATTCTTAATATCAAATTACTCTTTTTCTGTCGCAATTTCAGAATATACCGTAGATACCCAGCCTACCAAATATAAAATTCTCTAAAATACCGAGAAATTGGCTGCATGAAGAAACTTATTACGCGTTAATATTTTACTAAGTTTAGAGGTTTTATTTAATTACATACGCCATGTCATTCTTATATCGTCGTGCCCCTAAACAATAGGTCACCCGGTGTAATCGTAACGAGCGGTGTTCATATCTCACCAGCGGGTACACAAATCTCTACTAAAATATTAAAATAACACTAAAACAGGTACTAAAGTCACGTTCACGAATGACTGCAAGGATAAATGAGTATAAAAATATTATTTTCGTGATACTATTTAATTGAGTCATAGGCCATACATAATTCTCCTGGCTGAGCCCATGCTCGCCCAACTGTCCTAGTGAAACTAGAAAGGCCTCCAGGCCACCAGTAATATTTCCTTTCTAAAAATACAAAAATCTCAACGTAGGTTGCGACCTTAACGTCGCAATTGGTTTGGCCTCCAGTAACCAGTTTGGACCCTTATCCCATAATAGCCGTGGAAGTCATTTACGAACACGTATTAGGCGAAAAATACGCATATGACCTTCGATCAATAATAGTACATTATTGATCGAAGCCTATGACGTATAAAACATTTCAGTGCGCCACCCCGCGAAGGTGCGAACGTGCACGGTCTGTACATGGAGGGCGCGCGCTGGGACACGGCCACCGGCGGCATCGTCGAGTCCCGGATGATGGAGCTCTTCCCCATGATGCCGGTCATTTACGTCAAGGCCGTCACACAGGACAAACAAGACACCAGGAACGTTTACGAATGTCCCGTTTATAAGATACGGTGAGACTTCGCTTTTGTATGCCGGAGTTTGAATCTCTGCTAGTAAATAAAAAGATATTTTGGAATAAAACTGAGCACACGATTACAGGAAGATTCCTGTAGTAGTAGTAGATACTAAGACAGGCAGTGGCGGATTAAAGGTCCAGAGCGCCCTAGGCAATCACTTTATCGGCGCCCCTGTACCGGCCATAAATGGCCATCATAATACTATAAATTTTAACTAGTTGTTTTTGTAATTACGTTGGCGGTGTGTCCTCAACGCTATACTTCAGTAGACCAGGACCCTTCTACTTACGCTAATGCGCGAATGAAATACAAACAAACCCGCAATATTGCATAATACGAGTATATCGATGCTTGTGCAATATACTCTATTATAGATCAGCATTTAGTTCTTAATCGTCGATAATAGTATGTTATTTTCTTTATTTATTTAAAAATTCTGAGCTCGCCCGCCCCTTGTAACTACACGCCCCTAGGCATGTGCCTAGTTAGCCTTACGGATAATCCGCCTCTGAAGACAGGACATGTATATCTAATGTAAGCATAGTCTGCAATTGTAGTTGTTCACAACGTTCAATTACATTAGGTATACATACATACGGTAATGTTGCTGTCGAGATGTAAATCACTTGAAGTATTACTATGTGTATCTCTTAAAAATAGAAATGCCATTTGCTTGTTGTTTAAGTATTGGATAAAAAATGAAAGTGTATTGTTTTTGTAGGATGCGAGGACCTACTTTCGTGTGGACATTCAACTTGAAGACAAAGGATAAGCCCACGCGCTGGACACTGGCGGGCGTCGCCTTACTGCTCGGAGTGTAAACTATAGTTACTTCTTAAAGAATATTATCTTTGTAATGTTTAAACTTATTTAAAATAAACTGTAATGCTTCAACTTCAACACTTGCTTTTTTTCACTTATAATTATGACTTTTTTTCCTACCCATGCTGATAGGCTTGAGAGGCTATATCAGCGTTACCCTAGCGTATATGTGAGCTCTCGGGGCTCAAACCAGAAGATGTTGCTAACACTGGTCCTAGCAAGAGCAGTGCTTCGCAGTGTGTGCATATGCGTTCCATGTGAGACGTATCACCTTGGCCTAGCCTGCCCTGATGAGCTATGAATGTTGAATGACAATGGATTTGAATCCGTTGAACTTCGTTATGCAAAGTGTCCCCAACGCAACGATCGTGATTCCAGCGATTCCCTTCTGACCCAAAAAGGAAAGGGAGTGGGATCTCCAAAATAATACATTTTATAGGAAATATCTACATTTAATAATTATCAAGTATTTTGTCGTTCAGTGCAGGTAACAACGGACAATGAAACATTTCACTAGTGCTTATAAAATTGATTCAGGAAGACTACACATTGCAATGCGTCACCGTTGTTTCTACTATATTATTATGTAAACAATTCATGTTTTTCTATACAAAAATAAATGTTCTATACCGGACGGATTTTTTCAGTCAAAGCTAAATTTTTCAACTCTTGTGGCAGTTCTATGCTTTCCAAGTTCCTTAGCCACTTTTATTCTTAATTTTTCCTTTCGGTGAACTTTGATCATTATCAGAAGGAGTTTCGGAGCCTTTCACGGTAAATGTTACGTAATATCTTTTATTTTTGTCTAGTTTTTCTGCTGGTAAAGCAATTAATTGTTTTTCTGTCCCATTAGAAACTTCTAAAGTAACGTGAGCTCTACTCGTTGCAGTAGGAGGCTTCGAGTTGATTTTAGGAAGAAACCCTTTAGATTTTGTTGTCACACCAGTAGTTGAGGGTTTTGGCATAGTGTGGTGATCCCATTTATATGGTACTAAAAATAATAAAAGTACATAATTAGCTTTAGTTAAATAAATTATCAAGTAACTCATTAATTTTACTTACAATAAGAAGCACACGGTATTCCAGTGTACGCATGAATCGCATGAAAGCATCTATGCGTTTTGCTGGTGCATAAACATGGATTGTCAGGAATTGAAGTCATCTTATACAGTTCGCTCTCACCATAGTCGAAATCAAAAGGTTTCTCGGGCAAATTATCTAAATGTTTTTTACCACTTTTTTGTAGCTTTCTGAGGCTTTCATAAAGAAATTTTTCAAAACTGCTAAAGGAATAATCAGGATTGTTGTAAGACCCCAGTCCAACGCTTGCTAGGCTTGATTTGTTATACTCGTCTATTGCCCTTTTGACCAAAACTGCTTCGTTTGTTTTACTTGTTCTTATTTGTAAGCGTTTTAACTCCAATAGATGTTGAAATATTTTTCTTTCACAATAATATCTATAAATTGGTGTAATCGATAAGTTTCACAAATTAATATATCGTTATGGTTATGGTTACTCAGATAATTACTTACCTTCTCATATTTGTTTGAATTCGTTGCGTAACGGATTTCATATCGACGGCACATTTATCTCCGGGCTTACGAATAGGGATTCTACTATCGGATTTCCCAAAATATTTACCGCTTGCATTTCGTTGACGATAATAAGCTGCGAGTCGGGGACTAACAATACGACGTTGCAATGCTCTAGGACTAGGTTCAAACCCAGAGTCCATCATTCCGCTTGATTCATAACCTCGCTCCGAAACCTCGCTTTTTGAACGAATGGTTGTCCTACTTTTTGCCCGACCCTTTTTCCTAAATTTTTTCCTTCGACCATTTGCTTCAGTTTGACTGTAAATTTCATTGTCGCTTATACTAGGAACTCTTCCATTTATACTTGCATCTTTTGATAATTTGTTTCCAAAAAACATATCCTTTTCATCTTCAATGTCATTTTGCATGTCTAATGATTTCATAATGTCAGAGGTGTCCTCTACACCTATTTCAGCAAGTACTTTGTAGCTTTCTGTTTCATAAATACTATTTGATCTGCTGATTACTTGACTATCTCTAGATGCTTTTCTACTTTGCTTAGGCGTTAAAGGTAAATTAACATCGTATTCTTCTGAGACAGTATCCATAATAACCTGTTGCAACGCACGTTCGCTATTAGAGCTATCTTTAAGAATCGATACAAGACCTTTCTCTGTGGTGGCATAATTTTCTGTACTGCTTCCAGTTGTGGAGCTAAACTCTTTTCGTATTTCATCAGTGGCTTTCATAGCTTCATCACCATTTTCTTTTTGTTCACTTTTTGAAACATCTGTTTTCTGTTGTTCAACTGTATGATCAACTTCTTCTCCCATGAGATTGTGACCCGCAACAGCTGAGCTACCTCTATCCTGAGATGCTGATTTATCGACACTAGACTCATTTGAGATATTTTTTAAATCATCGAATGTTTCTTGACTTTTACTATAAGCCTCATCAGGAGTAGAGAGTATTTGAAATGAACGCTGTGGTGTATGTTGTGTAGCTTCTGTAGTAGAAATGCATTCAGATTCACCCGTTTTTAAATTTTTGGCAGCGCTTATATCACCTTTGCTAGAATCTTGTGAATCCTTGCTTAGTTTTTCTTCAATTTCTTTATCATCAGATTGATTCTGTTCCAATTCTGGCATTGTATTGTTTTCGCTCAATGTTCCTTGACTTTCAATATTAGTGGATGATCGATTCTCTGTGATACTTGTTGTAGAATTATCAAGTTTAATTTCTTCTTTTTGAGTATCAACTAATGACTCCGGCTCGTTGTTTACAGCTTGCGATTCTTCGGCAGCTTTTACTATGTCTAAAGATTCAGTTTCTTTCTGCAAATTGTTTTCAGTTTTAGCTTCTGCTGATACCACAGGCATGTTAGCCGTTTCAATTGATACATTATTTGAAGAATCTACTGTTACAGTTATTTCTGAATTGCCTTGTTGACTAGATTCACGTTCCATGTGAATTTGAGCTTCTGTGACAACCATATTTGTTTTAATTGATACAGTATCTGTTTCTGTTTCACTCAGTGTCTTTGCCTTGTGCATCTCGGATTCACATTTTTCAATATCATTTTTCAAGGTAGTTTCTGTTACATTTGCTGTTTCTTCCTTTTTTTCGTGAGTTTGTGAATTATCTACACTCGTTTGATTGTATTTGATTATGTTAATACTTTGCTTCTCTTCATCGTTTTCTATGTGGATTGAAGTTTTTTTGCCTTTACGTTTCGTGTTCCTTCTTTCGGTAGATTCAGAACTACTACTATCCGACGAAGAACTTTTTCTTTTCTTATTTCTCTTACGGTGTCGCTTAGTTTTTTTTCTATGCAAAGAGCTCGTTGTTGTGTCTGAAGAGCTTTCTGAATCTGATCTATAATATCTACGGTGATGTTTTGCGTTATTCTTGTGTTTTCTCGAGGGTTCACTCCTCGATCTGCTTTTTTTGGGGCGCCTGTAACTTCGTTCGTAATGCGTTCTTTTACTTTTGCCATCTAAATCACTATCATAGCCATCACTAAAACTTTTTTGACAGTACATTAACCTCTTTCTCCTTTCACAATATTTATCAGCATATCTGTTTTCACGTTTTTTTTTGGTGACTTTTCTATCATCAGATGAAATAGTGCTCATAGAATCACTGTCACTGTTATCCTTTATTCGCCTGCGCTCAACTACAGGACTGGAAAGTTCGACAACTTCTCTTTTCTCTATTCTTATTCTATCACGAACGTCTATTTTAGTACTCGTGACTTTTCGTGTAGGTAATCCTGTTATAGGCGCACCATCAATCATAATTTGAGTATTAGATAACTTAGAGGCAGGCAAACCTCCATGCATCTGTAAATATTTTGCAGTTGAACGATGCCCACGAGACGTGGCGCAATCGAGAGCCGTGATCGGTTCATTCTTAGATGATCTTGCAACTAAATTAACATCCACACCTCGATCTAATAACAGACGACAAAGGTCTGCGTTGTCAGTGGCAGCGGCTATGTGCAGTGGTGTTCGACCTTCGTGATTAGTTGCATTTACTTGGGAAGGTCTACCATCTAACAGCCATTTGACCAGTTCCCTCCTTCCAGATGCGACAGCTTCGTGTAAAGGTAGATCACCTTTAGAATTTCTAAGCCACAAGTTTGCACCCCGTGCTCCTAGAATAAATAATACGTTTTATTAACCAACAGCGCTCAGTTCCTATTTACATGTTTGCATTGATATACTTTGGTTTTACCTACCAAGTATACGGACAGTTTCTATTTGACCTTTAGCAGCAGCAGTATGAGCTGGACTGCGGCCTTTTCTGTCTTGTCGATGAGCGTCAGCGCCATGCTGCAACAACGCTGCCGTGGCGTCAGCGTGTCCGAGCGCCGCAGCATAATGGAGTGGCGTACAGCCGTGTGAATCAGAAACATCGACACGTGCTCCACACAGACCTATCAGAGTTTCTAGAGCTTCGGTGTGTCCACGTGCTGCTGCACAGTGCAAAGCAGTCAAACCATCTCTGTAAAAAACGGAGAAGAACTAATAACGATTCTTAAAGTGTTGTTTACAATTCAAGTTATAAAGTCAAAAGTACCTGTCAGAGTCATCAACCTTGGCTCCAGCTTGATGTAAGGCGAGAACAGCTGCTGCTGATCCTGCGGAAGCCGCCCATAATAACGGCGTACGTCCATCAGCATCTCTAACATCTACTTTAGCTCCTCCTTCTCTGATTAAAGCTCGCAAAATTTCTAATGCAGCCCCTCTACTCTGTAAAAAGAATTATCTTATATCTTCTATTTAGTTAGGTATTGAGAGCTACATTACGTTTTTGTACGTTTAGAACTTTACCTGGTGATCAGTAGCTGCTGGAGCCCCGCACATTTGTGCGGCGTAGTGCAATGGGTATCCGCCGTGCTGGTCTGGTGTAGCCGCGTCAGCCCCCGACGCCAGTACAGCTCGTAATGCACCGACTTCACCACAAACTGACAACAATATACGAAAACTACTCAATTTAGCTTTTGGTTTAGAGGAGTTTGGTTGGCACATTTGAAGGCTGCTGTTGCTACCACTAGCTAACTGGTATTTAATATTTTATAATTCGTTGCTTAATTTAATAATATCACTATATATATATATATATACACGCATATATACGGAACATTACTAGTAATTACTTACTACTTGATTAAAGTGTTCTTGTGTATCAGTATCATTTTATCAATAGTATCATTTTGATAATACTTTAGCGATACTTAATGTCGCATAAGCTATTCTCTAAGAACTGTATAGTCTTAGCTATCTCATTGAATTTTTGTCTTAATTTTTAATAGTGTTAAACGTATGAAGTTCATGACGAATCATCTATTGTTATTTCAGTTTTAATTACGATTCCAAGTAGACGCTTTTACTACACGCTATTACTTGTGGTATCTGATAGAAATGGTTGAATGTGGTGTATGCCATATCATTGGAAATGGAGATTGGTTGCGCTCAAATTTTATGAATTATAGAATGGTTACACTTACTTCTTCACTGGTGGTAGGACCTATTGTGAGTCCGCGCGGATAGGTACCACCGCCTTGCCTATTTCTGCCGTGAAGCAGTAATGCGTTTCGGTTTGAAGGGTGGGGCAGCCGTTGTAACTATACTGAGATCTTAGAACTTATATCTCGAGGTGGGTGGCGCATTTACGTTGTAGATGTGCATGGGCTCCAGTTACCACTTAACACCGGGTGGGCTGTGAGCTCGTCCATCCATCTAAGCAATAAAAAAAAAAAATACAGCATTAAAAGAGTTATAAAAGTACTGCACAGTAGAGGTGTTTCCGCTTTGATTGTTGTCAAATTTCCCAAGCGTTGCTATTTTAAACGAATTTTAAAATAAATAAGGAACGAGTGGCGTTGAATCAGCGAGTGGCACTGTTATATATTCTTAATGTACCTAAAAATGCAACGTAAGGTGCACGACGTAATGCAGCTTATAGAGTAAGATCCCAGGGCCCCCAGACGTCACGTATTTTCTGACGAACGAAATGTGGCCGATTGCGTAGTGTTAGTATGTAGTAAGAACGCATACCTATCCTCTACCTTGCTTAGACGGCCAATTTTCAGGTATCAGGTGCTCAAGGTTCATAAAATCATGACCTACTTCACGTATTTTCTGAAAGCTGATTTTAACGTATATTTTAGGCAATATCCTTAAAAATAAGTCGCCAGTAATCCCAGACACTTTCCGTCGGCCGAATTGCTTTGCAGACACTTTAAAGCTCCCAAAATAATGACCTAACTTCACGTGAATTCTGATTTTTATATATGTCCACCAGACAACTATTTTAAAACCTCTTACAAAAAGGACAGACCGATCCAAGGGGCCAATCATCCCCTAAATTCAATTTAATACCTCTGTGGGTAAGAGCGCGCGGGCATTATCCACGCGCATGAGACTGAGTGAGACATGTATTATTGACTTCTCTGTCTCTCTGTCTCTCTATCTCTCTTTTACAGTTGACTCATATCAATTAATTATTAATATTAAAAGAAAATCAGTTCAAAATTAAATAATCAGGCAAATAATGAAAAATTCATTTGTAAAAAAATGGGATCTTGGACTATTAGTTAGGTTGCCGATCGATCACGCAGTTCAATTCTAACCGCGCTCCCGGTGACACTTGCCCCAATTAATTTCAATTGTCAGTTTCAAATGATTTAATTGTTAGAATTAAATAAACTAATTTTTTTAAAAAACTTTTCTTAATAAATCCTCGTAACAGTACGTATTAGCAGTAGCATGCTAATTGATAACAATTTCAATGTTTAACCACAAATCTGAGAATTGTTTTTCTATTAATCTAACGTGACCTTTAACACTAAACCTGAATGTCCTAGCTAAATATCACGAACGTTAATAAACAATATATACCAAGAGCTGGTAGTTCAAGGTCTTAACCTTGCCAGTCACTCAATAACGGACGCCGGACTACCCCCACGTTCCCCCTTGATTCCGCTGGCCACTAGAAAATGATAACATTATACTGCAGTATTTCAATAGTACCTTAACTATTACATACGGTTAAATATTATATAAGTGAACACTAAAAATTTAACATTTGGAAGTTTTTGATGTCAAAACTTTATTACTGTGTGTGTAGTGTGGGTTTCTTCCTAATTTTATCTTCAAACAATTCTATTTAATACATTTCGTACTATTAGAAACCAAGTGTTACTTCTTTGATTATTTAAGAAACATCGACTTCTTGAAACTACTCGCGTACTACCTATCACCGCTTTGATGGTATGACAGAGACCTTCAATGGAATGCCAACAACAATAATAACAATGTCGCAAGTTTAATCACAAAGAGATGAATGGCGTAGGAACGTATAGAGGAGAAACATTTAACTTTTTAGATTAAATTTACACTACGTCAACACTAAGTCATGTTGGTTCAAGTTGCGTTATGGGTATTTAAAACACAACATAAAAGTACCTACTATAAAATGTATGGGAAGCCCCGATTTCTAAATACACTACGTACGATATCTCGATATCTGTAATCTTTATCGATTGCAACATATCAGAATGAACTCAATCTCATCGGTTTCACTTGGTAACTTTCTCCGTTTTCGATGGGCATACTTTGTATATATGTATGTATACCTAAGTGAAATGAAATCAAGTCACGGAATAACTGGACGCGACCATTCTCTGACGGAATAAATGGTGTCCAACGAACGAACACGAAACGTGACGAAACGAAAAACGAAAAAAAGGAAACTGTGATCTTGATATACCGAAGTATCCATTCTACACACTACTCATTGATGAAATTTCGTGTCACCACTTAACCTAAAGATTAGATTGATACCTTCGATCATCAATAGTAACTAGTTTGTTGATCGAAGATTGATACCAAGTACTTTCGTAACGTTCAAAATCACAGTTGCTCAAATTTCGCGCTCTAATTAAAACATATTTTTAATTTTTGCCATACATAGGACTCACCAACAAAATTACCGATCAGGACAGGGCTGAAAGTCGGAGTATCATATCCTAACAGCAAATACGTTTTTTTTTTATTGCCCTTGTAGGCAGACGAGCACACGGCCCACCTGATGGTGAGTGGTTACCGTCGCCCATGGACTTCAGCAATGCCATGGGCAGAGCCAAACCGCTGCCTATCATTGTGCCATTAGTTGTAAAATTACGTACCTATTAATTCTTAATTTAAATAAAGAAGAGTGGATATGTAGGGGCACGCCCACATAAAACACGCGGTGACGTAATGAAACGCTACGCGCCTTTATCCTAGCGTAGATAGAAGATACTAAAATGGACCTGATAATGCAAAGCAAAATCCGAAAACTGAATCAGAGATATGTGTTTTCACTCGGCGAATACTTCTTTATGACTCAATAGATAATAATCGATGGGTAGAAAGTGAAGGCAGAAGAAGTGACTAATTGGTCGCGTGTCTGCGCTCCGTCAACCACAGCCCGCGCCCGTTGTGGTGATATCCGACAAGGCAACACATCGCTCAGTGACACCGTTTAGATAACGATTCTCTTCAGTTTACCACAAATAGAATCGTAAGCGGCTTGCGGTTTGATCGTTTTGATGAACTATTCAAAGTACTTGCGTTACAATGGATTTGGAAATACTAATTGATTGATATCTACTACGTTATTGTTCGGGATGATGAAAACAACAGAGCAGCAACATGTACGATAAAAAATAGAGGACACTAATCTTTGTTTATTCGATAAGAGGTACACGATCACAGCCACTCATCGCTATGGCTACAGCATTCCCTATAACTTATCCGTTGTCTTCCAAATTATTTCTGCAAGTCCAATTTTTCTGGTAGTATAGTATCTCACGTGTCGATAAGCTCGGTTATGCCGGCATAGCCTCTCAAGACCACCTTAGGTAGGAAAAAAAGTGGATAAGAGTACCTAAGTGTTCCTAATTCAGGTGCGAGGAAACCATACGTGAGTGAGTGGTCTGATTTGCATATACGTATGAAAATTCCATTTTTCTATTGTTTAAATGGATGGAGGAGCTCACGGCCCACCCGGGCTTAAGTCCATAGACAACAACAACGTAAATGCCATCACCCATCCTGAGACATAAGTTTTTTTTTATTGCTTAAATGGGTAGACTAGCTTACAGCTCACCTGGTGTTAAGTGGTTACTGGAGCCCATATACATCTACAACGTAAATGCGCCACCCACCTTGAGATATAAGTTCTAAGGTCTCAGTATAGTTACAACGGCTACCCCACCCTTCAAACCGAAACGCATTACTGCTTCACGGCAGAAATAGGCGGCTTACTGGTACCTAACCGTGCGGACTCACAAGAGGTCCTACCACCAGTAATAAGTTCTAAGTCTTAGTTTTATGGTACAAAAGTTGCTTCACATTTCAAACCCAAATTCATTACAGCTTCACGGCAGACATAAGTGACGTGGTGGTGTCCATGCGAGCTCATAAAACGCCCTACCACCAGTACCGCCTATTACCTTAAGACATAGATGAGTGCGATGGTATAGTAAATGTGTCCATTTTTCCCACAAGACAAAAGTCACAACTAATCCAGGCATCAACCCGCTGAGTTTCTCGCCGGAAATTCTCAGCGGGTCGCGATTCGATAACAGATTCATTCGCGAAGCAGTTGCTTTTGAGTTCTTAGGTCTCCTTTGGAGGCGCTCGGATAGCTGTTAGCAAATCCCACCCCTCCTGACTGAGCCTTTGCTCGCCCACCTGTCCTAGTGAAACTGGAAAGGCCTCTGAGCCACCAGTAATCACTCATTCATAAAAATAAAAAAAACGTACGCCATATTGAAAGGGGTTTATTGCATCCATTCAACCTCTGAAATTATTTGTTGTGACTAATCAAAATTTGAGGTAAAAGAATAAATATATTGAACTTACCGGTCGCCCAATGAACAACGGTATGATGCTCGTCGTCCGTCGCGTTGACGTCAGCGCCGGCAGCAAGCAGCGTCTGCACCAGCGGAACGTTTCCGTGGACAACGGCGAGGTGGAGCGGTGTGAGTCCGTCGGCGTCGCGGGCTTTGGCAAGCGCTGGCGCTGCCATGAGCACGCGGTCCGCACAAGCCGCCCTCGCCGCTTGACTCGCGCCCGCCCCGCTAGATGCGCAGTAGTGCAACGCGCAACGCAGGCCGCGGTCACGAACACGCACAGACGATGGCTACTCATAACAAATAATAGATATAAAAATGAATTGCTGTTCGTTAGTCTCGCTAAAACTGGAGAACGGCTTGACCGATTTGGCTAATTTTGGTCTTGATTTATTTATGGAAGTCCAGAGAAGGTTTAAAAGGTAAATAAATATGAAAATGTTCGGAATTAAATAAAAAGAACAATTTTGTTTTTCCTTTGATGTGTCCCCCGTCGGACGGATTCCTTTTATTTGTTTTAAGTTTATTTTATACAAAAGTTTAGGTCTTTTATTTATCGATTCAGGCACTACGAAGTCTGCCGGGTCAGCTAGTAATAAATAAACGTAATATCATAAAGACTAACACTTTAGAATTTCATTAAAACAATGGTACAGGTACAAAAGAAGTACGTAATACGATTTCTATAGTAACACGTATTGACGACGATGAATGTTAAACGAAATCTATTTAAAGTCTTGCTGTTCAATTTATCAATTGTGTTTGTAAAGAAAGTAATTTATGAATGAAAATGAACGAAATTGAAAAATTGTGTAATTTTATTAGTTCAAACCTTAAATAACAAACGGTAATTAATTACGTTCAAAGCAAATACACGTGAAACAGACACGTGTGTGGGGAACGCTCCCTTTCAATTGATGTCGATTTACATAATAATATATTGATTGACTGGCACCCCACGCTCAATCGCGTTCCCTTTGTTATTATTGTTTCAAAGAATGTTATCTACGCACATACACATATCACAATTTTGAACGAGTAATTCACGGACCAGTACCTAGGTAAAACGGAAACGAAATGTTTCGCATCCGAAATTGTGGGGATGGAGAAAGATAGTGCCAATGTTCTATCTCAAAATACGTTTAAATCGTAACGCAGATATACGCTCGTCTCCAAAAAAATTGTTTTTTAGATACCTATTCCTTTAATTATTATTCTTATAATGATATGACAATCACATAGTTCAAGCACAGTTTTAGAAATTGAATCTCTAAATAATCGATTGTCTTCGAATTTTAGGAACCGTTTTAAACGAGCAACTTCGATAATTTCAAGATTCTGGATTAAAGGGCATTTTTTTTTAATTTAGGTTTTTTTTTAAATATTGCCTTGTCCGTAATTATTAACTATTATCTATTTATAACCACCCTGTCATATAAAATGATCATAGCCACGATAGAATACTGAATGATGACTGTTATGATCAGTGAATGAGTGGAGTGACGATAAACTCACATCCTTGTTCAGTATCTCAACGACAGTCTTGTAGTCGGCCTGTTGGCAGGCGTACATGAGCGGGGTGCAGCCGTGCGGCAACGGTGCGCTCACCTCCCCGCCTTTCTTAGATCCCTCCACTTTCTCGAGCTTGATCTTGGTACTCTTGTCCAGGAGGTCGCCCTTGTGTCGGCTCTTTGGTTTCTTTAAGATGCTCGGAATGGGTTCGCCCCTGCCGCTGGTCGCGCGCTTGTCCATAACAGAGTGCGTTAAAGATTGTCGCGTATCATGAGTCAGGGAATGGCGTGGTTGTGGTGGTTAAGGAAGCTCGCTAGGGGCGGGCTGGCGCGGAGGGCGCGAGCCGTAGACTGGCCGCAGAGTCGACGAGCTGCCCACTCGGACAGAGGTGGCAATGGGCGGCGGGCGCCACGCAACACTCGCCGACGTCAATCTAAAGCTTGCATTAATCGGGTCACAGTCTTTTGTAAGACTCGCCCTCTTGGAAAATAATATAACCCGTTACAAACATAAAATCGATTGCGTTTAACACGTTAAACTTATTACCATATTTAAGATTCTACATATTGTAGCAAAAATATTTTATTGAAAAATATGAATGTTATTATCTCGTTGAGCTTAATATACAACTATCGGTTTTACTGCTACTGTTGTTCGTTTTTTTCTTCTTAATTATATCACTAGCAAATGGTCTTTTGATGGTATCGGTCTTAAATTTGACCTTGGACTCGACCAAAATACCCCATCATTTTGTAGTCATTAGTGTACAGAACGAGAATTTCCAACAATATGTAAAGCTGCAAAAATAAGTAACAACTTCACTATAATTATGATTGTCGAGTTTTATGATTACCTAATCAAATATTATATACTTATGTGTTAAAGCAGTAGGTATAGGTAATGATTGGACAGATGTATCTATCTGTTATTGTAAACATTATAAAAAAGTCTAGAAATTATATATTTCATGATTTTTTTGTCGTAGACTTCGGGTTCACGCTTCAAGGGCCATGGAATTTACGTTGAAATAATGTACAAGAGCTTTGATAGCACCCGGTGGAAAATGAGCTTCTCTTGCTCATTTGAAAACAGTAACTCTCCGCTTTTATACACACCTTTGCATTTATGGTAGAAATTAAAGTTAATCTTTGTCTGTTTCTTTTTCAAATTTGTTCAAGTGCACGTCACTTACGTAAAAATGACTACCTACAAAGTAAATATAGAAGATGACTTGATTTCAAGAAGAATATTATCATTATAAATACTATGCGAATATAATAAGATTACATGATATCCATTTGAGTACCTACATTTTTAAATTTATTTATTTCTTAGATAAATGAACGAGCCCAAAACCCACCTGATGCTAAATAGTTACCGGAGCCCGTAAACATCAACAATGCAAATGTTGCCACCCACCTTGAGATGTGAGTAAAAAATCTCAATTTTACTGTACAGTGGTTTCCTCATCCTTCAAACCGAAACCCATTACTGCTTCACGGGAGAAATGGCAGCGCCATGCATCGCTGGTTCCTACTCCTGCTGTCTAACAACATGCCCTACCACCAATAATTACACAAACTATAAATTTTGCGTTATCTATTTTGATTATACGATGTTATTCTTACATCTGGGAATTTTCAATTATAATTGTGAATCTATTAACTTTAAATTTTATACATCTACGCTTTCGTACCTATATCCTTAAATGTAATCCAAATAATCTATATTCCATATATGTACTATATAATGGTAGACGCCCGGAGCGATGTCTGACGTAACCTCGACACGCTACAACAGCGATGGTAATCACAGTAACATAATTTACTACTTCCAACAAAATTATGCGGAGATGATTTCAGCCTTGGTACATTTCCGATAAAAGTTAGTACTAGCGCTAAGATTGAATGTCCAAGGACATTTATCCAATAGATAAGTGACGGTAAGTTACATGTTAAATTGCAGTTACGTAATATTCGCCTCGGTTAATAGAAATAATTCCTAAAACCTCATCTTAGTAATGGGTATTTACTAAATTAACGTTTTACTAGCGTTGTATAAGATCAGTAATGTTTATTCTTTTTTTCGTTTTTTTTTTATATTGATTACTACTAGACGATGAGGAAATAATTATAACTACAGTATTTTTAATCGAAGACACAAACAGGAAAATTCATTAGTGTGTTATTATCTAACCGCAAACATTGAAGATATATAAATGTTGATTTATTTGTAGAATGTGCTTATTATTGTAAAAACATTAAATATTGTTGAAATGGCGACAGGTCTCTGCAACAGCATGCGATCAAGGGAAAAATTTACAAAACGATCATTAGATCTGTCGTGCTGTATAGATCTGAATGTTGGGAGACAAAAGTAAAGCATGAAAGAGAAGTGCACGCGGCAGAGATGCGAGGGTTGAGATGGATGTATGGAATGACAAGAATGGACAAAATAGGCAATGAGTATATCAGAGGAAGTGTGAAAATAGTCCCGGTGATTGACAAATTAAAGAGCGGACGGTTAGCGTGGTATGGATATGTGATCAGATGCCTGTCACTAGGAGATGTATGGAAATGGTAGTGCAAGGTAGAGGGGGAAGAGGTCGACCGAAGAAGACATGCATGGAATATGTGAATGACGATATGAGAGAGAGAGGATTGAGTGTTGAGATGACGGCTGATAGAAGAGAATGGAATAGAAAAATTCGTTGTGCCGACCCCACCTAGTGGGATAAGGTGGAGACAAAGAAGAAGATTAAATATTGTTTAAAATATACGTAATTTTGTAATTAACTGTTTTTAAAATACATAAACAATTTGCTCATATTTCTTATCAAACTTAAATGAAATTTTACGCCACTACATTATGAATTAGATGGTTAAATATTCTTAAATTATAATTCATTATTCATTGTACTAAAGTATCCCCAGTTCCATAAGATTTTAATTTGTAATTCAAAAACTATTACAGTCTAATTTGTAATGGTACACGTTGCATTTTCCCGCGTTAAAGAGCTCTTAGGTCATGTTCTCGTCCATAAGCTGTCAGTTGATGTACAAATATAATACTAAATGCGCCCACGGCTTCGCCCACAACAAAATGCAATTTTATATTAAAAGATAAAAGCTATAAGATGATGATTGAAGCTAGCTACAGAAGATAATTTTAGGTGAACAAACATGGACACATACCTACATTCTTTTACATAGTGACCTAGGGTTAAAAATCACTGCCACCAGCGCCACTTATCCAGCACTAGTAACTAACTATTCTCGTCGAAGTGGTCATGTTACCCCTTACATGTGTGCTAAGTTTCATATTAATCTGGCATACATTCATTCATTCACACATACATTCTCTTTTATGTACATAAAATCACGAACCAGCGAATAAGATGTCATCTTTATTTATATATAGTGTTGCCTGGGGTCATTCAAAACCGTTCAACAATTTTTGCATAATTGAGTAACAAACATTCAGATATACATTTGTAATTGTAGGTAGTACAGATTCTGAAATATAAGATGTACGCAAAATAAGATACGTCGCAGTAATTTGGTAATTTCAAACACAGAAATACCAAAATACACAATCCAGAATTCATATTTTTGTTTTTGCTTTGGGTTTGCTTTAAGCTGGTAGTTTATTCCTACCTACTTTTCCGCACAGAATAATGTGTTTTTACAACCTACTAAGTAATTCTTAATAATACTTATTGATAGGGCACACTGTAAACCCGCATGACCAGCACTATTTTGCCGCTAACCAGTCATGTTTGAAGAGTGAGGCGGCCATCGTTAATTAAATCTGAGCAATCGACCTCATGCATGACTGGTGGCTTCACGATAATGTCTATGGGCTTCGGTAATCACTTAACACTTTGTTCGCCCATCTATGCGATAAATAAAAAATGCTCAATAACACTAATTTTATTTTTTCGCACGGCAAGTCTCGCCGCGCTTACTAAAGTACAAACACGGCCAGGAAAATTAAAGAGGTTTCTCGTGTTCGGCCGTAGTTTTCCCCAGATGTGCCACAGCTGACCCACTGCCCTCAATCGCAAAAGGCTACCGAGGGGTTATTGTTGTAAAATTTCTCGAATAATTAGTCATTTTATTACGGCACGTAAGTACGCAGACGCCGGATATTGCGAAATGAGTAAACATAAAATTAATAGTTGAATATGTATTACGTACAAATATATTTTATAACACCTTAAGTCTGAAATTTGTGTATTATCTTTTTTTCAAGTCAGATCGACGAAGCTCACTGCCCATCAGTTACTAAGAGGTTTATCGTAGTCCATAGACAATCACAACGTAAATATCGCCACCCACCTCGAGATACATGATCAAAATCTTAACGATATATTTTTTAAATAATTTATCTTAAAACTATCTTAAAGTTAGTGTCTAAAGTCTTCACTACACGTGAAGCGTTTAAGACGAAGGTTCGAGAACTGTTTCTCAGAGAATTAGCAGAGTCATCTAATTGATAATATTTGTTTATATATGTTTTTATATGTATATACATATAATAATATGTATATCTATTTATTTAAGTACTATGTATGTACTATGTATTATGTACGTTATATATACACATATGTTTAAGTAATATCACCTTCACACTACACCTACCAAGCTTCATCTCTGCACTCCCCTAAGGTAGACTGTTAGAGAATGCCTATGGCATTAAGTCCGCCTTTATACTTTCTAGTATAAGAAGTTATAAATAAATAAATAAATAAACAAAGTTAAAGCTGTCGATTTTCTTAGTTAGAACAGTTTTTATCGGCACACACTCTCTACGACTTTTGAATCTCACATCTCAGTAGCTATTTTGAGACCTAACATATTATGTATGTTATGTACCTAATGACGTCTCATAGGTTTTTGAAGCTCTATTTTTCATAAACAGATATTTTCAAGCCGTCTTCTTCGTTCAGCCCTAGACGACCTCTGCTGGACGTAGGCCTCCCTCAAGCCTCGTCACAACCACTGATCCTGCGTACGTCCAACGGATTCCCATGACCTTCAATCGGTCATCGGTACACCTTGTGTGGATATCCGTTTTTGTAGCTATATTATATGCCATCCTAATTAGTTCCTTTTAAATATGTTTACCGCATTGAATAAGCTGTTCTTACGATAAATTCGAGTCCCAATAGTCTTAAATGCTAGTGATACCTATGCGAACAGACGGAATAGATGAAATTGTAAGATCCGTTTCTTTGTTACTTTACGACGGGACCCTAAAAAATACTAAAATTATGATTAGGGCTTTAAAACTAATTCTATTGAACAACGCATTCGCGGTAACTTTATTTGAGTATTTCCTACCTTTTTGTCGATACGATACCTGAACCATAGTATTCTAATTTCTTCAAAACGAAATCAGGAAAATTATTATAGTTTTGTAATTTAATTTTGTAAGTTACGGAGCAACCTCTCTTTATCCTCACAATATATAACACAATAATTTATTAGCACTAACATTATGCCCCGTGTGCGTCTACCTATGGTGCTGGTCCAGCCTTTCGTAAGTGAAGAAGCGGTATTATTTTCATCTATCACTTTTATATGTCAACTATTCTAAGATCAGTATGTACCTACTCTTAAACTACTCTTTCGAATATTATTCATAATACCTGATAGGTGCAGCACCGCTTAAAGGCAAACTAATCGTGTCCCCTACCTATCTAGTCCCAGTGACACTAATTCCAAACATAATAAAAAAATTTAAAATCAATCGAGTAACACAACCAGTTGTTTCCTGCCATGTAGGTCATCGGTGCCCTACGCGGCGCTCTGAAGTAATTATGTCGATTTCTGTTACTAAAGCGCCTGAATTGCTTAAGTTTGCCTTCTTTTGTTTGTTAATGCACGTTTTATTCTTTTAGATCTCTTAGAAATAGATTCATTCTCAGTAACTTCGGATTTGTCTTTCGCGGGGTCTACTAGATATTCCGGTGCCTTAATAAGAAGATCGAAGAGAGAAATCGACATAATTACTTCAGTTCGCCACGTAGGGCACCGGTGACCTATGTGGCGCTCAACGTGTTAAGTTTGCCATTACCTTTTTACGGCATTCAACCGTGCGCTTTGCCTAAATAAAGTATTAACCTGGTTCTAATTTTTAAATACTTTTTATAACTCCCCAAAAGCCCAATGACCTTTGTTGTGTAAGAAATAGTAATATCGCAAAGCATGTATGTATTTGAAGCGGTTCAGTGACATTTTTTAAGCACGTTAATATTTTTGATACTTTTCAGTTTTCTTCTTAACGTTATATTCCTTTTTAATGTTCTCGATATGCAAATCGAAATGACAAACTGTGTGAAGGACACATAAACGTGGCGCCTTGAAAATGTAGCCCTTTTAGAAATAGCGAAAGTCACCGTTAGTTTGTAAAGTCAGATGTGATACGACATGGTCAGCGCTGAACGGATTGGGGTCAGCGATCAATCGCGATAAGCGTGGGCAAGTTCGCCTCGACTGTGATTAAATGGTAATTAAACAACCAGTCGCTTTTCTAGACGCAAAGTAAATAATAATAGTAGTGGATGCTTTATGATCGTGGTCATAATAAAATCAGTCATAAAACGTAATCGTTGACAGACGCAAAAATTTTTATTTTCCAGAGTGACCAATGTCCGTGTTCTTTTGATTCCTTATTAATATATATATATATATATATATATATACATACACACGGACTGGTTTATTACATATTTTTGTCAAATTCATATTAATGGATTTTATGTGATTTATAAAGGCTAAAGGTTATCTCGGTTGGTTTTATGGTTAAATTGTGTAGATATTAATTACACTTCAGTCACATTGAAGCTTCACGTGTTTTATTATTAAAGCGTCAATTTAAAAACAATAAAAAATTCATGCTTAAATTCAAACTTCGTTCCGGTGCAAATTGCGATTTTATTTTAGTTATAGCCAATTTAAATAACACAATAAAATTTTTAATTATATTATTACCCATTTAATAAACTATAAATCACATGCGTTAAATCCATAACTTCATAGTAATAACCAACTTACTTTTGGTTATTATTATTGTTATTATTATTGTATTATGATTTATTTAGAAGCCGACCATGACTATTATCTTATCATTAGATTTTAGGCAAACGCTTCCAAAAAAGGAAAATATAAAAAATAAATTATTGACACTAATCAATGCACTAATAATTCTAACGCCTTATTATTTTAGAGCACTATATTAAATTTTGCTTACCTCACTTAAGACGAGGACCAAGTTTCTTAAATAGCAATTTACTTTAGAAACCTAAAAATGCATATACTTTTCCACAAAACCGCCAAAATACACAATCTTGTTTTTCTTTCTAATATTATAAGACACTTATCGAGATGTATTATTTTAACATCAGACATTGGTGAACATGAATATAGCGTGTTTCGAAACAGAGGACGTCTGGGTCCATTGCCGTAATTACTAATGGGTAAATAAATTGAAGACCGTCGAATATCTGTATTATGTACATATATGTTGCAAGCATGTCAGTCGCCATGACAACCCCGACGACGCCCCGTTGCCATAGTTCAGTCGGCGTAGTGATCATAATGTGCAAGGACGACTAAAATGAATTTTATAAATTTCGACTGACGTATGTACATAATCCAATTAGCAAATTGAAATCGATCCACGCTAAATTTAGCCATAGCCGTTGGTTGTCCCAAGGTGAAAAAAACATTACACACGAAGACAAAGAAGCTAGAGCATTAATCTATAAAGGTAGATAGGCTATTTATATTCAAATATATTTCATAGCACATACTCCTTAAATCTCATTTCAGACGTATTATTTGGGTTTCCTAAATTATTTCATCACAGGAGGAAAATAAAGACCGTGTACTTAGAAATAAAAATAATTTAATACTTATAAAAGAGTAGGAACACATTTACCATTAACACTTCGTCTACTCCCAGGAGGACATAGCGCTCCTATTACTTCTGTAAACCTTGTCTCAAGAGAAAGCGTCACGCAGCTAACTACTAATGTTGTAGAATTAACTCCTAATGATGAAGATATCGGGTATAAATGATTACAAGGAGCTACAGATCCCAATTTTTCACAATTCCCATTCCATTGAACTAATGTATCCGTGTTGCAAGGGTTTTGCTCGCAAACCGGAATTACTGAATTTTGTGGAAGAACTAGATACTGTCCGACTTCACATGGTCCTTGTCGAAAAGCTGGCCAGCATTTGTCTGTTCCTGGGTGATATAGGTTCGCTAAAAAAAGATATAGATATAGAAACACATACAAACCGAAAAAGGAAGCTATATTGTAAAAAAAAAACTATAGGCGTGTATGAACGTAGCAAGCATTGGTTTTACTGGTGGTAGGACCTCATGTGAGTCCGCACGGGTAGGTACCACCACCCTGCCTATTTCTGCCGTGAAGCAGTAATATGCGTTTCGGCTTGAAGGGTGGGGCAACCGTTGTAACTATACTGAGACCTTACAACTTATATCTCAAGTTGGGTGGCATGTTTACGTTGTAAATAAATGTCTATGGGCTCCAGTAACCACTTAACACCAGGTGGGCAGTGAGTTCGTCCACGCTCTTAGCAAAAAAAAAAGCATATAATGTGCTAAAAATAAATAGTTACCTGGTCTGCAATCACAAATCCAGTCGTCTTTTTGGTCTCCCGGATAGAACAATTCGTTGTCCGGACATCTTGCCGGAATGAACACTGGTTGGCGATTCTAAAATAAAGCAGATCAGATTCTATGATTGTGCATGTACCTAAATAGTACAACTCTTATTGTCTTTTTTAACCATTCTAAAGTAATATATAATTTATAAAAACAATAACTGTAAAAAGTTAAGGCAAAGGCTTTTTAATGACAATCTTTTGCATTTATAATGAAAGCTATTTAAGTCAAATAGATGCTTTGTGGAAACAATAAGATATACATATTTTTTTAAAGATTACGTCACTGGTAATCAATGCGTGCTATACTTGAAAATGCTCATGTATATTTTTGCCTAGTACCTACAACGAATTGGAAGCCATTTAATTGTTCAACACAAAAACTTCATAATTCATCAAATATTTTTGTAAGAAATCGTTTTGAGCTTCACAAAAAAGTCGATTAGTGTAGTTGTGTTTTTACTGAGACTATCTTGAAGGTTAAAACCACTGAAATTATAAGAAAACGGAACTTTTTACTGGTGGTAGGACCTCTTGTGAGTTCGCGCAGGTAGGTACCACTACCCTGCCTATTTCTGCCGTGAAGCAGTAATGCGTTTCGGTTTGGAGGGTGGAACTATACTGAGATCTTAGAACTTATATCTCAAGGTGGGTGGCGCATTTACGTTGTAGATGTCCATGGGCTCCAGTAACCACTTAACGCCAGGTGGGCTGTGAGCTCGTCCACCCATCTAAGCAATAAAAAAACTTTAAAAAAAACTTTTCCTGTTTCATATGGACACCTAAAATTATACTTTTAATAGTTCTCAATGTAACCGTCAATGGAATAAAAAAGTTACGACTACCGTTTTAACTTTTGGGATGAAAGCGAAACTGTGCTTCTAAATTAAGTTGGAATTTGTTTACTTTTTTAAAATAGATATTTTAATTGAAAATTGCAAAATAAAATGTATGCTTGATACTACTTTTGCATTCATTAATCAATAATATACTATTTTTTTATCAATTAACAAAATCAATCCTATTACCTTAAAAACAAACTCTGTTTCGATTAAATTAGGTACATATATGTCCTCACCTCTTTATTTCTCAAATCGGGATTTTCTTCCATTTCCGGGAAACCGATAGCATCTTTTGAGCTGTTTTGTGCTATTGATGTTGCTAACAATGCACATGTTAGAAATATAATATTCAAATAACACATTTTAAATTCAATTACAGTTAATAAACGCGTCCTAAAATATCTATTCGTTTTGTTATATAACAAAAATGCTCAACAATAACTATAGTGACCGTCAAGAAATAAAAATCATGTTGTCGGATTATATTTACAAAACGAGTACTTATATAGGAAGCTTGTGGACAACTGTTATAAAACGAGATGGTGCGAGTAAACCCAACATCACGCCCGCGTACAAAAACAAGTTTGTGATAACAAAAAAAACAAGAATCATTAGATGAGACGGTTCTGTAGTTTAATTAGTGAATTTATTTTCATTTAATTATTACGTTGCTGGATGAACGAACTTAAATCTTGTGTTGAATGCTCCATAGACATTAATGCCGTGAATGCCATCACTCATATTGAAGTATGAGGTCGAGATCCAAATTGTATTCTATAGTTTTAATGTTTAAATTTTATAAACATGATGAATTCTAGATATACATATATTGTATATGATCTGTGACCTATGACGCAATAATAGAATCCTTCGAAGTCTGAACAGAATATGAATAATTTAAAACCACAAAGTTTGATAGCAAATCAAATGGAAAATTAAAATAATCTTTTTGTTCTGGTTATACTAGTTATTAGGATGAAGTCAAATCGACCCTTGATACATGTGCAAATTTTCACGTTAAACGAACGTCTTTAAGCTAGTGATAATTATTTATAAATATTTCGTATTATAATATCGAAATGTAGATACAGGCTATTCTTAAAAAGCGTGTTTAAAATTGATCACGACTAAATCCTGTTTAATCTGCAAACGAAACAAAAGGTCAAAACTTGAGTAAAATGGTAGTAGGCCTCAGCATCAACTATTTCATACATCATATAATAGATTTTGTAGAACATAAGTATCAACTTAACGATAAATTGTAAACCAGTTTTGAAGTCGTCGTGGCCTAACGGATAAGACGTCCGGTGCATTCGTGCTGAAGCGATGCACCGGTGTTCGAATCCCGCAGGCGGGTACCAATTTTTCTAATGAAATACGTACTCAACAAATGTTGACGATTGACTTCCACGGTGAAGGATAACATCGTGTAATAAAAATGAAACCCGCAAAATTATAATTTGCGTAATTACTGGTGGTAGGACCTCTTGTGAGTCCGCACGGGTAGGTACCACCGCCCCGCCTATTTCTGCCGTGAAGCAGTAATGCGTTTCGGTTTGAAGGGTGGGGCAGCCGTTGTGACTATACTGAGACCTTAGAACTTATATCTCAAGGTGTGTGGCGCATTTACGTTCTAGATGTCTATGGGCTCCAGTAACCACTTAACATCAGGTGGGCTGTGAGCTCGTCCACACATCTAAGCAATAAAAAATAAAAATAAAAAACCAGGCCAGCTTCTAATGATACCTAAAGGTTTTTAAAAGCATTGTCAATGTTGGTTTTTTTGTACTTGTAATAGGGATGTACTTAAATGTGAAAAAATATGTTTATAATTTGTTTAATCAGCTGCTGATATCGAAGTCAGTTAAAATAAATTTCTGTCAAATCTAATAAGTAATATATGCATAATATATGCATAAATAATCAAACGGCATTACTTTACTTAATTGAGCACCTTCGGGCGAAGCTTGAATAATTAAATAATTAAATATTTAAAATATCACATACTAAAATAATAAGTAACGAAAAAACACTAAAAAAAATGATTTACGTCTATATTAACTAAAATTTATAATTTAATTTAATTAACAAATTATAATATACGTTATTTAACATTTGTATAGTTAAATTTTAATATAATTTTAACATAATTCCATGATTAAAAGTATACATATTTCATCCTTCTTTCAATACTTAAATTCCAGCAATAAATTCAAATTGTGAATTCTTCGTAACAATCATGAGATTTCGATCAACAGAACCATAATATGTGTTTGCTAGTTTTTCATCATTATTTACCGTCTGCGGGGTTTTCCGTTCTAGATGCGTATTAAAGTTTACGAGTTCCGCTTAAGGAACCCTCTTTTCCGATTGAAAAGCGTGACTTGTATTCTGAGCCGAACCAATATTCCCAGATAAGTCACAACAGAATTTTACATAAATTATCGTGCGTCATTTGCAAACCCTTCTGCGGTAAAAATCCCTACATTCATTTATTTTAAAATTAAACTTTCCTCTTAGAATTTCATTGAAATTGATATTATTGTTTATGTAACAATGATTGTGACAAACATTTCTTCTATCAACCTCATTTTCAAAGAAGCATGTTCAGTGCATTAGAGTAGACTAAAGCTTTCTGGATGGATAGCATTACAGTCGTCGTTGACGACTGCTGCTCTAATACCACAATTATGTTAATCTATACTAATATTTTAAAGCTGAAGAGTTTGTTCGTTTGTTTGAAAGCGCTAATCTCAGGAACTACTGGTTCGATTTCATGAATTCTTTCAGGGTTAGATAGCTCATTTATTGAGGAAAGCTATAGGCTATATATAACATCACGCTAAAACTCATCATCAGATCTTGATGATTACAGGACCATTCGGGAAGTCTACCTTTTCAAACAAAAAAAAGAAAAAATAATTATCAGAATCAGTTCAGGCATGTTCGAAAAATCGTTCAATATACATAGATAAAAAAATTATGGTCGAATTGATAACTTTCTTTTTAGAAGTCTGTTAAAAAGCGTGATTTTGTTACCTTAAATAGCTCCTTATCATTCTACAAAAATATTTTCACTTTCTACGTAAATGAAGGGCGGGTAAAATTTAACGTTTTGCCAAAGTAACTATTAAAAGTATATAAATAATAAATAAATATAAAAGTAACGCGGACGAAGTCGCGGGAAAAACCTAGTTGTTGTATAAAATTTGGTGCTCTTCCCCATCATTAGAATCAATAGTATGCTCTCTGTTGATGTCCATGTACTACAGAGAAGATTGCACGTGGGACGCGCGATCTATCTGCCACGAGAGACTCTCTCTTGCTTGGAACAACTGCTATGCAATTTTTTAAACCAAATGCACAACTGTATCTCTACCGAAGCTACTAAGCATGACAGATTTAAAAACTCACGCCGTTCCATCAAAATTGACGCAAATAAACATTCTACTGATTTGATTTTAATACGCTTCTTATTAGACGACCAGTAGTAGCTCAGTAAGAATTGTGGTATGAAATTAAATTAACAATTGTGTGCGTTTTTTCTGAAAATAATCAATGATGTGATACCATCGACGCAGCGTGATAATGCAGCTGGAAAGTGTGTAATGTAACGCTCGAATAACTACAGGTGAGCCCATACACATATTTGGATTTTTCGTAAATTTATTAAATGTCGATGAGAAACATTTAAAAGTACCTTTAAGGTGTTCTTTAAAAAATCAATTAAATATATTTTAAACTAGCTGACCCGGCAGACTTCGTAGTGCCTCAATCAATAAATATAAGACCTAAACTTTTGTATAAAATAAACTTAAAACAAACAAAAGGAATCCGTCCGACGGGGGACACATCAAAGGAAAAACAAAATTGTTATTTTTATTTAATTCCGAGCATTTTCATATTTATCTAAATCTTTTAAACCTTCTCTGGACTTCCACAAATAACTCAAGATCAAAAGTAGCCAAATCGGTCCAGCCGTTCTCGAGTTTTAGCGAGACTAACGAACAGCAATTCATTTTTATATATATAGATAGAAGATAGACTAGCTGACCCGGCAGACTTCGTAGTACCTCAATCGATAAATAAAATACCTAAATTCTTGTATAAAATAAACTTAAAAACAAAATTGTTATTTTTATTAAATTCCGAGCATTTTCATATTTATCTACCTTTTAAACCTTCCCTGGACTTTCACAAGTAATTCAAGACCAAAATTAGCCAAATCGGTCCAGCCGCTCTCGAGTTTTAGCGAGACTAACGAACAGCAATTCATTTTTATATATATAGATTATTACAGATTATTACTACATTGATTAAAATTAGTCAGCATACATTTTACTACATAATTAACAATACTAAATCCGGCTTTGGAATAAGCTCCCCTCTATAGTGTTATCCGAGCGTTATGACATGTCCTTCTTCAAACGAGGCTTGTGGAAAGTACTTAACGGTAAGCAGCGGCTTGGCTCTGCCTCTGGCACTGCTGAAGTCCATGGGCGACGGCAACCACTCACCATCAGGTGGGCCGTATGCTCGTCTGCCTACAAGGGTAATAAAATAAATAAAAAATTAATGTATCTTTAATACTATCAAAACTTACGGCGTTCTGCCTGTGCCGCTATTGATCCCGCAACGATAAACCACAAAAAACTAGACACGCTATTTCTTTGACGGCCAAAATAGCCTTTATTATTTGCAAATCAAGAGGAGAAAGTGGCATCTACTGACATCTACTTTCTCCCGACTACCTCGTAGTTGTCGGTCTACAAGGAAAGTAAACAAATATTGCTTATTAGAAAATGCCGATGGTACGTTAGGACACTACTAATTTATGTACCTTTTTAAATTTTTTTAAGCAAGCTTTTTCCAACGGTCAATATTTAAAATAAAGTATTACAAACGCTGATTATAACTTATCAAGTAGGTAATATAAAAATCTAATTAAGTATATTATCTAGGAAAATCCACGACTACAAATTGTAGATTCACAAAAATATGCAATCACTAATTTATTCTTAGCAGTTAGCATTGGAATACATTAATTTAACTATATTCATATAGTTCAAACTTTTTTACTGTTTAATTCCGCGCTTATATTCTCTTGAAGTTTATTTTTTTTAGTGCTTAACTTTTTCAGCGGTCAAGGAGGGCGTGTTTGTAAAATTAGAAATATAATTAAGGTCGAAAACAGTATAGGTCGATAATAATATAAGATAAACAGTAAAAATATTTTTGATCCATAGCCGCAAATTATGCAATTACTCTAGCCACTACATTAGGTAGGTTATGAGCTCCTTCACACATCCGTGCAATTTTTTTTGACTTAACTTCATTCGGCGTTAATAAGCAGTGAGTAGTGTTTGCCTATTAAAGCAATATAAATTACACGGATAGGTAAACAATCTTACTCTTGAAGTTGAGTTGTTACGGGAGTCTATAAAAATCATAATGTTAATACCACCCACTTTGAGATAAAATGTATTGTACAAGTATATCCTCTCATTCTTTACACTGAAATTCATGATTACTTTCCCGTAAAAATAGGAAGGACAAAGCTCTCGTCGTAGATAATACACATGGCCCTTGTAAGCTTATAATACACACTACATCCTTTAAATACTTAATTAAAATAAACGACAGTTCCATTTCATTTTAGATTTTAGCCGAATAATGTATTTTTATTCATTATTGATCCAAGTTACTACATTTCAAGTTTTTGGCTGTCCTAAACTGGTTTCCTTGGTAAAAAAAAAAAAAACGTACTGTTTACGTCAACTGTGATTTTTAAGTGCACTGAAATGTCAAAATGGGGAGTGAAAACTTGAAGAAAACAATGTGAAATTAATGTAATTTTAATTGTTACAATGAATGGAATTTCCGTAATGAGTTAATAATACAACCACCGAGATGTTCACTAAAAAATCTCACCAGGATCTCAAAAAATCAACTGTTAAAATACAGGACTCCAAAAAAGATTCTGCGACACGACTCAAACATTTAAAAATTATTTTAGGTAAGTCCGAATATTCGTATTGGTTTTAAAAAGCTAATTAAATCATTTCAGACAATATTTATATTTTATAAGTCCTTTGCGCATGTGGTAAGTGTTACGTTCCGTACATGCTAATTAGTCTGTATAACTGTACTTGTAGTTGATTCGTTGCGGCTTACAACTGTTTATTGTAATTTGTAAGAGAGAAATTTAAAAATGCGTCTTAAAACTGGATATTGATGTAAATTTAACTATGTTATAATTTCCTATTTTTTTGACAGATTGAATGAAATATTACTTAATTTCCATATTTTGGCATAGCCAATGAGTCACAGATTTGTACAGAATTTAACCAAATCAATTGGTATTAAATTAACTAAATATGTTAAAATTAAAAAGTTTTCATCAAATGCCCTCATAAGCACTTTTAGATTTATATAAATTTTGTTGATTGACTGACTGATTGGGAAAACAATTTTGCTACTGAGAAATATCAAAATGATTCCACTTTAAAAAAAAAAAGAATGTGACACGAAATTTACAAAAACATTGCATTCATTTAGATATTACCATGTATCATTATTTTCTTTTCAAAGATAACAGAATCAAAACAATAGTCTCTATGGTTAAAAATAATACCACAGTGCTTGATCTTTACTTCTTATAGCTCTTGTCTGTCACATATTCATGGTAGAAGTATCTTCAATTATCCAAAGTATTTCTAAATTGAATATATCTTATATCCATTTTCCTTTTTTATTTGTTTTTATTGTAAAACATTAAGGTAATTTATTTTTCTATTGTTAACTGGACTATAAAACTTTAATAATAAATAATTTTATTTCAGAACATTTTGATTCAGATGAAGCTAAAACATATTTTGAAAACAACTTTAGTCATGTTTACTTCATATTGTATGATAATTTTATACAAGCCGAAAATAACCTGCGTCAAAAAGGTATGTGACACACGGACATTATCTCTCAATTATTATTAGTTTGTTATGTAAATAAATAAATGTATTATAGTCTATCCGTTTTTATATACATAATGTATTTTTTCTGTTTTTTTTTTGCGGTACAGAACTTCCGTTTCATCTAGGTGAGTTATGGGTGAATTTAGATATCAGATATAATAGAAAGTAAAAAATCATGAATTAATCAATTACAATGTTGCTTTTTTATATAATGCTCGAAATATTATTTCTAATTTAAACCTTAGAATCCTATCTACTTAGAATTAATTCATTCATTTGTATTTCCACTCTGATTGCCATATGCAGTTGGTAGAGATAGAGTAACCTAGTTAGGATCACCACTACTGTAAACTGTAGCTTAGATTCTCAGTTATTGATTGATAAATATTTTAACTATGGTACTGATCTTAGTTAAAGGTATATATCTAGTAAAATCTGATCACACTCTGCTGTCACTTGCTAATTGTATGAAAACAATTGATTGAAATCTTTAAATTGGTAGTTTCCCATTATTTTTTTACAAATAATGTGTTTTGATAAACAATTATTTTGGTTGAATCAAATAGAATACTATCAATACGTATTCAGAAGCCAAGCTATTCATTTGATTGTTATATTTCTATAAACTATAGGATAAATGTAAATAAAGTAACCGAATACAAAATGCTAATATGTTCTTAAATAATCCATAAAAGTATAATTTTTGCATAAATTTATCTTCTGTTAAATAATACTCTGGAGCATTATTTAAGAAGGCAAGAATTCAAAGCATACACACATGGCAGTTCATTTTTGGTTTCATCTTAATCTGGGTTGCAGCTATAATCTAATCATGTCAAATTATCATTGGCTTATCACACAAAAGTATATTCTTTTTGTGCATGATTTATAATACTCAACCTTTTTTTTAGAGAAAACTGGCTATTTCCAATATTGATATCAGTACCTTAGAAATAGAAAAAAGAATAAGTAAAATTTACATTTTTTTAAATATGGTCATTGTGATTGTGCATTGATAATCAGAATCAGACATTGCTATAAATATATAGTGCTGTACATAAACTTGCTTTAGCAGTCTAGACATATGTTTCACTAAAACCAGATTGGTATTCTTAATTCATTAGTAATGGTGTTGTGGGTCTTTGAATGCATCCAACTAACTAAAGATCGCTTGATTAAAGACTAATTTTAAGAAATGTTTTAGTTCACAAGGCTGGTAAAGAAGAATTAGAAGCAGCTCTGCTACTGCTGGAAAAAGTACTTTGTCTCTTACCAGAATTGCTTGGGAAAAGATGGCAGTTACACTCATTAACAAGGATATTCTCGAAATTGCTGCACAGTGCAAATTCACAAAAATTAAGGGCAGAAGCAATAAAGTAAGAAAACAACATAATTTGTTTAATAGCGAAAAAGTGTTTATTATAGGCAAAAAATAACGAAGCTTGGAGTATCTGCCCCTGGAAGTAACTTATTAAGAAAATAAACATAATTAATTATCCCAAACTACGTCCATTTTTTCTACAAAGGGAACACACAAAAATATATTTTTAGAATAACCTTGGATCAGACAAGTACTGTCATATAAATTGCAACATTAAAATAGGCACAGTAAACAAAAACATTAAATTTTCAGATTTTTTCTCCTTTGGTATCAAGCGCTAGGCGACAATGCTCCCTTCGAGGTCCACAAAATGTTCGCGCTACTCATACCTGGTATGCCAGATCCTGGCAATGTGACCAGGCCATCACCGCTAAATCCAAAACCATTTGATATAACAACCAATCCACACGAAACAGGCGATTTTAGTATGGAAGACATTATGCAACATCCCAATTTCTCAACTGTAATTGACAACGCCAAGAAAGTCGTCGTGGAACAGACCTCGTCAGGAATAATGGGAAAGATTGCTAATGTATCCGCATCCATCTTCCACGACACGAATGCACTGAACCCCGTACAAAGCGTCGAGATACAACCTCTCCTGCCACCGAGTGCGAATGAAAAATCTGTTGATAATGAAACCAAGTATTTTTTTGAGATACTTCTCGATGGAATGGCGACGTCCGTGACGAAATTGCAATGGAGAGATAGATCGCACGCCAAGGCAATGAGATGCTTCGCGTTTTTACTTGAAAAATTTAAGCAGTATTATTTGCCCGTAATTTGTCCACAGTTTAATCACAAGAATTCTTTGTATAAACCTAACTTAGGTAAGCAAAACTGCGTGATATACCTTTTGTCTATGTATAATTTCCAAACTGTATTATTCATTATGACTTTTGAATGATGCTTCAGATTTGCCAGTACAGCACAACATACTAGAAGATGATTTTGTCTTATGCCGAGTAACTCTTATCAAGTGGGTCGCCAACTACGCGCATTTCATGAAGAAACAGGGTAGTGATGGCGGACAACCTTCGTCTATGACCAGTATCGGGTCTCATCTTCCGCATTCGAACACTCCCACCCCAGCCACGTCTCTCCATCACGAAGAAGAGACATCCTTCACTGTAGGACACCCATCGGACTCCAGTCGCGCATCTTCGCACGACTCCGCATCTAATACACCACATCCAAGTTTGGAATCAGGTAAAATAAATTTACGAATCGGGCAAAGGTCTTTATAACACTTAAGTTTTTTTTTTAAAAACACCTAACCTCTTATATTGATTGTAGGATCAGGAGTCTACGAAGAGCTAAGTTCAGAGCAAGTAGTACGTGACGTGCTGTGTTGCTCCTCGCGGGAACACGTAGACTTCACTATAGAAGTCTTACGTCAAGCGTTTCTATTGCCTTTCTCGCACGCTGCAGCCATCCGCCGCGTCATAGCTCTGTACAAAGATTGGATACAAATGAATGTAAGACGTTCATTTATGAATGATTAATATGCTAATGATTTTTTTCTTCATTACGAAATTCCGAAATATCTCGTAGATATAGGCAGGCATATGAAATAGCATATTCGGTAGAAAATCTCTATGAATTTTTAGCCTAAATCTATCTAATATTCCATTATATAGTTTAGATATTTATTTTCATTGATTTTGATCACTTTTCCTCAAAAATGTAATACACATCACATTTTTGTTAACAATTAATCTTTAGTGGAACACCCTGTATAGTATTTTCAAATAGTTTAAAATTATACAAAAAAATATATTACAAAGTATAACGGAACCAAATATCCGAACGTGCGGTACCGCCCCCGCCGCCGCCTTACCCCCCGCTGAGACAGAGCTCTCTAAGTGAGAAACGTCTACCGACAAAGTCTTAGTTTAACTGTACTGTTCTCAACTCATTTTGTATTTTATTTTAGTTATTTTGTCGCTTTTATATTAAAACCTCATACAAATCAATGTAAATATTATTTCGATATCATCTTCGCCAACAGCCCGGAATACCGAACATACAAAAAACTCAGAAAAGCCCCGCCAGTCGGACTTTTAGTGTTAAAAAAGCAATTATTGTTACATTGAAAAAATTATTATAAATTATAGTAAAGTGTGCGTTGTTTATTATGTCAAATAAACTGATACATGCGCAGAAAAAAAAAAAAGAAAAAAAAGAAAACGCTAGAATGATTCATTGTAACAGGTATCAGAAATCCCACCGTTCTTAATGGAGAGCACGTACGAGCAGCAGCTGGCGCAGGGCGAGCCCGCGGTGCCGCCCAGGCGACTGCGGAACGACTCCTACCTCGGGGCTCTCGGACGAGACAACGTCATGGTTCGGGCTGGCATGCAGGTCGGTCCATCCTCTAACTATAACTATACCTTAGAACTCATATCTCAAGGTGGGTGGCTTTTACGTTGTAGATGTCTATGGGCTCCGGTGACCACTTAACATCAGGTGGGCTGTGAGCTCGTCCACCCATCTAAGCAATAAATAAAAAAATCCCACACTTTTATAGAAAATAGAGAAGAAGTGCAGAATGTTAAATTTTTTTTAAGTTATGTATTCAAAAACACTACACACAATAGCATGTATTTAACACACACAAACGCATATATACTCTTTTATTTATTGCTTAAAGTCTGTGGTCAAATTGAGAATAGATTAATATTGTTGGTCTTTAATATTGTCTGAAAGAAATATCGTTCAACTACCATCAAACCGGTGATGTCGTGTTACACAGAACGTGCTGCAAGTGTTCATGACGCAAGCCGCGCACGTGTTCGTTGGGAGCGGCTGGACCGTGCTGCCGGCGGGCGCGGCCTCCCCGCAGCAGCTGCTGGACGAGCAGACCGACACGTGCAAGCGCGTGCTCAACATATACCGCTACATGGTCATGCACGTCGCCATGGACTATAACACTTGGTATGCACGTGTACTGGAAGCTTGTATATCGTTCTTTGATGGGCCGTATCGATATTTATGTATTTTTGTGTATTTGTACGTGGTACGTACCTGTATGTATACCTTTATTATACATATTGTGAATTTTAATGCATTCAACAAATTTCCCCGAATTACCTTTGGCTGAACGCTAGAGAATAATAATAGTTGCGCGACACATCTTTGCTTGCTTTGTGTAATTTAATTAATCTATCACTTACTCTTCAGACACTGCTCGCATGAATGTATCAGTGTTTAAAGATAAAAGCCTAAAATCATCTTGATCCGTATTCCACTGTCTCGGTTGATATATGCCTACATACAGTTAGAAGGCTGTACGCAATATATATCCTCGCTTTGCCACACGTACTTAACACGTGCTCATAAACTACTTCCATGGTTAAATAATAACATAGTATATTTAAACATATCGGATTTTCCGGATGGAGACAGCGGCTTGGCTCTGCTCCTACCATTTCTGACGTCCATGAGTGACGGCAACCACTCACTATCATGTGGGCCGTATGCTCGTCTGCCTACAATGGCAATAAAAAAAAACGTTGCATTCTTGCTAATAACATAGAATTGGACGAACTTTATTCTGGTAACAAGCGATAAAATAAGCTTAATATAAACGTAGCTATTCTTACACAGCTTTTTTAAATATTTAAGTACCCGTATATCTTTAGAGTAAACGAAAAAAATATAGCGTTGTCTAGCAAAAGTGCTGCAATACAAAACAAAACAATAAAACATTTATCGCTTGTTTATTGACATCCTAATATGTTACAACTCTTTTTTTTTTGAGGATTCGTTTGAAGTCGACAACTAGACTTTTAAGCCAAATCTTAAATTTTCTTCTTACATTCTGTTATAATATAAAAAATTATATGAAACGAAATAAGATGAAGTTTCACAGATGCTAAACAGTTAATAAACCATCAAAAATGTCCAGTAATGTTGGTTTGTGCTTGTATGTGGAACTTTATATATTGAAATAGCATTGTTTTCTTAAGATGGAATTTTGCATTTATTATGATTAACAGGGAACAGCTCTTATTGGTGTTACTACAGATCACATCATTGGTACTCACTAAAATTCCTCCAAAGAAAAAACAAGAAACATTAGGTAATAATAGAATTCGTTAATTGCACATTTTTTTTGCTTGGACTTGACAATTTAGACCAGTTTTATTTTGTAGGTGGTAATCTAGCGCCCGCATTGTTTCAAACGTTGATAGTGACATGGATAAAAGCGAACCTGAATGTGGCCGTCAAATCTGAATTGTGGCAGAACTTTATGGAACTGCTCATGCGCCTGACGCATTGGGAAGATCTGATCAAAGAATGGGCTGTAAGTATATATTATGTGTTTAATATTAATATTAAATGCGAAAAAAATATATATGAAAAAAGTTTAGTAATAGTAATTAGTAACTTTAGTGCACAACAAAAGAAATTACTAATTTGAATAGAACTTAGTTGTGCATTTTCTTTTGTGGGGAGGCACGCGATTAATTAATAGCTTTATACCGCTTGGAAAAATTTAAGATATTTTTTTAATACCTAATGCAAGTAAACTCCGTGTAGGGGAAGTTTTAGAATTATACGAGTTCCTTTATTAATTTGGATTATGATAACATGTGATTTTGTAGAAAACGATGGAGACTCTGACACGTGTCCTGGCCCGGCACGTGTACTCGCTGGACCTGTCGGAGACGAGCGGGGGCAGCGCGCGGGGGGGCCGGCGTCCGCCCGCCGCGCCCGCCGTCCTGCCGCGCCCCCCCGCCCTGCATCACGCCGTATCCATCGTCTCTAACACCGACACTAGGACGCCCGGTAACTTATCCTATACGCTACTTTTTTCTTTCTTTCAAACGGTTGCGGACCTCTTTGCTAGCTAATGTAGTTTTTTATTCTTCACTTTTGACGTTGTCTATTCCTATTACCTATTTCTTTCTGTTTACTTAATTTTCTTTTTTTATTAAAAACTAGCTGACCCGGCAGACTTTGTAGTGCCTCAATCGATAAGTAAAAGACCTAAGCTTTTGTATAAAATAAACTTAAAACAAACAAAAGGAATCCGTCCGACGGGGGACACATCAAAGGAAAACGAAATTGTTATTTTTATTTAACTCCGAGCATTTTCATATTTATCTACCTTTTAAACCTTCTCTAGACTAACACAAATAATTCAATATCAAAATTAGCCAAATCGGTCTAGCCGTTCTCGAGTTTTAGCGGGACTAACGAACAGCAATTCGTTTTTATATATACATATTAAAAATTAAAAATAATCATTCGCAACTTGTTTCATCGTTTATCATTTTACAGAGATTTATTTAGTTTGTTCATTTCACAAACCTTTGACCTTTAACCCTTTATTGAAAACACAAACATAATAAACATAAACATCAAAAGATCCTAGATGCTAAACATACTCTTCCATCATAATATTACATTTAACTGTAATACAATTTAGTATCAAAGTATACAAGTGTCAAATTAACACGCTCTTTATATTATTCCGTCATCAATGCCTTAAGTATACAAGTTAAATAATTTTGATACAGCAAATAGTAAAAAGAAGTAATACACGTTTTTAGGTAAATCTCCCAAAGTGAACCACGAAACTCATCCCCGTAAAGAGACCGCCACTCGCCGACAGCTCACACGGTGCAGGAGCGATCCGCATCTCAGTAAACAAGCCCGCGTTGAAGGTAAACACTTTTCAGTCTTAAAGATGTACTTTACTGGTGGTAGGACCTCCTTTGAGTCCGCGCGGGTAGGTACCACCGCCTTACCTATTTCTGCCGTGAAGCAGTGATGCGTTTCGGTTTGAAGGGTGGGGCAGCTGTTGTAACTATACTGAGATCTTAGAACTTATATCTCAAGGTGGATGGCGCATTTACGTTGTACATGTCTATGGACTCCAGTAACCACTTAACACCAGGTGGGCTGTGAGCTCGTCCACCCATCTGAGCAATAAAAAAAAACTTTGTATTTTTTTTATTGCCCTTGTAGGCAGACGAGCATACGGCCCACCTGATGTTGAGTGGTTACCGTCGTCCATGAACTTCAGCAATGCCATGGGCAGAGCCAAGCTGCTGCTGCCTACGGCTTAATACTCTCCACAAGCCTCGTTTGAAGAAGGACATGTCATAACGCTCGGGAAACACCAATATATATATTATGTTTGTTTTGAATTTCCTTAAAAAAATCAGGTATTGACAGACCAGGAAGTACCATGAAAACGTAGAATACGATCCAGTGACAGCAACTCTAACCAAAAAACTTCATAAAGAAAAATCAATTTTTCTCTTTTGTTCTAGAAGTAATCATAGTACCTACTCACAGAAAACCAAGAAGATGGTACTCGCTCGATTCCCTAAGAAACTCGCTATCGCAAAACGAGGAACGCGACTCGGCAAGTGGTAAGTATCAAAATAAAAAACTTTTTGTTAAATATTGCTCAGCGTTAGTTCGAACAGAAAGTGAACCGGTCTGTCCTTTTCCTTAGTACTATAATATGAATATTTATTTTAGTGTTCACCCTGTCAAAATTATTGTTATAAATTGTATTAAGCTTTCACGACTACCCTCTAAGTGTTTCGGGTCTCTCTCACATGTCGGCCTGGGGACCGGCGAAGGGGACCTAAGAAGACGACGTGCAAGCTGCTCTGCACGCGTTTTATGCAAGAGCGTCCGGGTGATGGAAGGCCGGCTATCCTCAACCCACGCTGGTTCTGACCCAGCGGGGTATTCCGAGGGTAGACCATTCTAACCGGCGCCATCTAGGCGGGCTTCGGATAGCCTGCCGACCGAGAGGACTGGTGGTCGTGGCGCCGACGACCGCCAGTCCGGCGTCCCGAGGGGGAGGGTGATGGGAGAGATGTGCTCCGCACTAAACGCTTCACTTTCCCCCCTTTGCCTTTTCATGAGTTCTGTCTCATGCGAGGTTTGGATGCTGGTCGTTGAGTGACAGGAGGTTTTAGTCGGTTCAACTCCGACATGCCCCGCCCTCCATCCCCAGTGGAGGGCGGAAGTCCGGTGATTTCCTCCTAAAAAAAAAAAAGCTTTCACGACTGTCTACATTACAAATATTGGAAACTTAGGAAACGTGATATGAACCCATTAATTAATAGTGTTTGTAAAATATTTTGGTAATCATTTTAGTTGACATTTACGTATCCTAAAAGTATGCTATTTCCTAAATATCTTCTGTTTTGATTAAGAAATGAAAATACAATCATTTATGAAATAAAATTGCTCCACTTGTAGGTTCTAGATCACCATCTCCAGCGCCATCTAGCGGCGTCGAAAGTAGTTCTATAAAGGACTCACCACTGCAAATCGATTTAGTCTCCGATGGTGCGAATGTCTGTAAGTTAAATTTAACTAAGAATTAATGAATAAATCTTAAAAATAAACATAACTCGAATGTTACTAGAGATAAATTTTAGTGTAATCTCATAATATGGTCATATGGAGTCGATTTAATCGTTTTATAACTGTAAACTTTACACATTTCCAACGTTATAATACCATTATCATTCATATAATATAATAATTTCTTGGAGATTTCTAATATTCTCTTCTTTCCTTACCTAGAGTTATTTTGCTCCTTTCCAAAAAAAAAACCATTACCTGCCTTGAATAATATAGTTGATAAGGTTTCATTGCCGATCAATTGAAGCGGCGGTAGGAATAGGTGCACACAGAGAACTGTATGATGTTTGATGGCATCAGAAGATTCACCACAATCGAATTGCTTAGATACGGACAGAGCACAAACATATAATATTTCTAATTATATAGATTGATAGAAGATATTTGGTATTCGAGTTCTGGGTGGATTGCTCTTAACTCATAATATGGAATTCCGGTACCCATGATACGGGTGGAAATATAGGGCGTTAAGTGTGGAACGTCTATGAGACTAGTGGTTCATCGTTAAGGTTAGCCCACCGAGTTTCTCGCCGGATCCTCTCAGTAGGTCGTGTTTCCGATCCGGTTGTAGATTCTGCGAAGCACTGCTCTTGCTAGGGTCAGTTTTAGCAACACTCCGGTTTGAGCCCGTGTGCTCATCTACACGTCAATGAGAAGCTGAAATAGCCTCTCAAGGCTATCAGCATAGGTAAGAAAAAATGTTATTAAAGAAGCGATTGTTTTTACTAGCGGAGTGGGGCAGCGGCGATGCGGAGACGGGTGGCGGCGCGTGCGGCGTGGTGCTGGGCGGGCGGGCGCGCGGCTGGCTGCCCGACGTGGCGGCCGTCATGTGGCGCCGCATGCTGGCCGCGCTCGGCGACCCCAACCTGCTGCGGGACCCCGCGCACCACGCGCACTTCTTCAACTACCTCATACATCTCAACTCTACCCTCCTCAAGGTGGGTTACGCATGGCCTGCAGCGGACTCGAGCGCTTCTTAATTTTTATTGCTTACCAGCTGACCCGGCAGACTTCGTAGTGCCTCAATCGATAAATAAAATACCTAAACTTTTGTATAAAATAAACTCAAAACAAACAAAAGGAATCCGTCCGGCGGGGGACACGTCAAAGGAAAAACAAAATTGTCATTAATTGTTGTAATTCGGGTCATTTTCATATTTATGTACCTTTTAAACTTGCTCTGGACTTCCACAAGTAATTCAAGACCAAAATTAGTCAAATCGGTCCAGCCGTTCTCGAGTTTTAGCGAGACTAACGAACAGCAATTTATTTTTATATATCGACGCTTAAAAGGCAAACATGACTAAGCGACAATAACTGCTTTGTACATTAATGATAGGCAATAACCATATTCGGTGCGCAAAAAAATATATTTCCAGGTCTATTAAAATAATTTCAATCCTACAGCTACTAGCTAGATTCTACTACAGCTAGATTCGTTAAAATAAATTTTGTTTTCAGGTATTTCAACTTTAAATTAGTCTACTGTAAAGTTCACGCATTGTCGCTTAGTCACGTTTGCCTTTCAAGCGTCGATATATAGATATGCTGGACGAGCTCACGGCCCACCTGGCGTTAAGCGGTTACCGGAGCCCAAAGACATCTACGACGTAAATGCCGCCATCCACCTCGAGACATGAGTGCTAAGGTCAGTTTTAACAGTACAAAGGCTGCCACATCCTTCAAACCGGAACGCATTACACTTTACGGCACAAATAGGCATGGTGGACTCACCCGTGCGGACTCAGAAATTTTACTGAAATTTGAATAACTATAACAATACAGCTCAATGTGCGTCTATATTCGTAAAGCATATTTGACTTAAGTTTTCACGACAGACTAAAAGCATTAGTAAAAAAATGATCAAACTGGGTCAAGGTAACAGGCCCATCTGGTGTTAAGTGATTACTGGAATCTAAGCAGTTAAGTTAAGCAACAACATAAGCACCCCAATTTTTTCAATACAACGTACAAACTACGAGTACCACACTCCTCTTTCTATAGTCAAATTAGAAACTTTCGACCTCATGTCTAAAGGTGGCTTTTACTTTGAGGTCCGAATAGCACTTACGGCCTATAGGGCACGCGTCTTTGAGCTGAAGTTCGCTTACGGTCAGGTGCTTTGTCCTTTTGACTAAATAAAAGACAGAGAAAGATAAATTTAATAAAGTAACGCATCTAAAGAAAGAAGTAAACCTAAGGATAACACATATGTAAGGAGTTCTCTTAGAATTTGTTTTTTCATTCAGTACTGCCAATCGTTACAAACTAAATATCGTTACAAACTAAATATTCTAACAAACTCAAAATTGGAATCTAGTGCTAGTCCTAGTGCTTGCCAAAACTCGCAAATACAACAAAATGAATGCCTCCGCATATCTCGCGAAAAGAGTCAGTTTCAATATAATTATAATACAGTCGTATTCTTCTGGTCGGAAAATGGGTTGTCCTCTCGTGAATTTAGAAGTCAAGCCTCTTTTTATTCGGCCTGCAGCATTAAGTAGCTAAGCTAGCTGAGCTAGCTTAAGTAGATATTCCTTTCTACCACCGACAATCTTGAGTCCTGCTAACGGAAATTGAAAGCAGATCAGAGGTCGGTCTTTAGCGATAGTTAAATCAGCCGAGATTATGTTTATTATAATTAAATTCAATTAAGTTAAATGGATTTTAAATTTTAATATCATATTATAATATTAAAAGAAACCTAAACAAAAAATAGATTGCCGCTATTGCCGGTGTGTACTAAAAATATCATAAAACGTTATGAATCGAGTTTATAGACACACGGTAAACAAACCTCTTTGACACATTAGTGATTTGTTATTGTGTTCCTTACTTTTAGTTGTGCGATAATATCCGATTTTGTACCAATTTACCGCTATTTGTGGGAAGTGTCGTTTTTCTTCTATCAATCGAATAAAATGGCAGCTGAATACTATCGGGTCGTCGCGTCCTCTTACGGGGGCGCGGGCCTCAGGGTAAACCCTCTGCCCAGGCTGCCCTGCCTATTGAACCAGGGGTGATGAACTGCGGGATTGAGCTGTTTGGGTCTGAGTTGATGGTAGGTGGGATTCTTCTTCTTCTCTTCTCGAAATTCTTGTCATTTTTATTCTTTTTTCGTCGAAGGCGGCTGCTTCTCTCCTCCAATTTTTTTTTTTGTTTTCAATTTAGTCTTAACCTAACTTAGCCTAACTGAATATAACTTAAATCTAAGTGACGGTGGCAGCTGAAGCGCATCGAGAGCTTCATATAGTTTACGGTGATACTGCTCTGAGCGAAACAACGTTGAGTGATTGGTTGCATCGCTTCAAAAACGGCGAAAATATGATGTACACGATCGTCCACCACAAAGGAAACCGAAAACCGTTGTAGCGCTGATTTGAAGGCATTGCTCGATGAGAATCCGTACCATCGTCTGATATATTATTTGTTCCGTTCCATGACACTTGGTCTGACTGATCAGCAGTTCCATACAGAAATGAAAGAATGGCTTAATTCGTGCATAGACGCAAAAATCGAACGGTTCTCGAATTCTGCTAGAAAGATGGCGAAAAGGTGTTGCTGGTAATTTTCACAATAAATTTGTACTGTCATCAAAGAAACAGCGCGAACTTCGTTGCGGTTCTTAAAAGTAATGTTGACCTAAATTTTTTTTATTGCCCGTGTAATGTGTGACCTAATTGGTTGGCTGCTATATTCAATGTTCTAAGCTAGGTCACCCAATTTCAGCAAGTCAGAAAACGCAGGCACTATGACTTCCAATTGTGTTTTATAGGATCATATTTTTATTTTCTATTTGCGTATAAAATCTGATCCAAAATATTCTGTGCTCCAGAAATTTTTAATAATAACCCTCTTCAAACCGTCCGGATACTAATGAAATACAATTCTTTCTTAATTATACCGGATTGCGTGTTGTGATCCCTAACAACGTGCATTATACACAACATTTAAAAATATGTACACAAAATACTATTTAAACAAAACGTAAAGAACGACCAGGACGATGCCATGCCAAGCATTTTGGTATTAACAATCCCGCGTTTCTATCTGACGTTTCGCAAGATTATTTTTTTAGTCGTTACCGTTGGACGGATGTATAGATTTATAGGCTGTGACTAAGCAGTAGAGTGCAATTTTAATACTGAACGGTACCAGTAACTATCATATAACACAAGATATTTGACAGATGCCTGAATCTCGCTTACGACATTTTCAAAATAAGCTGCATTATGTTCCAAACAACAACATTCGGGTCGGTCTACCGGGTAATATCACCCGTTCGGTGGAAGATTTTCCTTTCGTCGTTATTCCGATACTGCCAAAAAATATTTTCTGTTTGCACTGAAATGAGCAATGCCATATTATATCAATTAAAAAAGGACTTGTTTGTAAAAAATCTGAACGGCATGCAGTCATCTCGCAAGTGCAAGCAAGTGTCTTCAGTCCAGAGAATTATACTGGAGCTTGATAAATCAACGCATCGATTTCAGGTAGTAGAAGAGAACTCTGTTTATGAATTATGATCTGTGATAAAATCCAATCATCTAACTTTTTGGTGCAGAAATGTATCACCTTGATGCCTTTCTACAATGGTATGGCAGAAATAGTATTTGCCTTTTAAGGAAATATTATTCTGAAGATCTGATTTGAAATTACTTATTATTCTAAAAATCTGATTTGAAATCACTGCGATAGAAGAGATATTGCACGTATACATTACAAACAGCGTACTGCGAAAAAAAGCGATAAAATAAAAGTGTTTTGAAAGATACTCAGAAGAAATGCGTTGAACGTTTTGAAATTGGCAAATCACGACTATTGCGGCAATTGATCGTATGAATCAGTTGGTTGACCCAGCGTGTGAGGACGTTCCTATACGAAATCACAAACTAAACGTTACACGTCTTGAGAACTCTAATTGAAATGGTACACATTTAAGCAATTGCGTAATGAAATCATGACACACGCCAAAATGGCCATCTGTTAATGTTTATCACAAATAATATAAAGCCAGAACAGTTTATCAGTCGATATCTGTATTTAGATGGCATATGGTGTAACACGAATGTCATTTGTCATTCACATCTCGATGAGACGTTTGTTTTTGTTTTTAACGGACAAGAACTTGTTTGTTTCATAGAAATTCATAGAATATGAAAAATATATTGTAATTTAATTTCGTGAATGGTGTTATTGAAACTGTGCGCGCTGTTGTCCAATTCGAAAGTATTTAAAGATTGCCAATGCGAAAGAAGAGCAGGAAAAAGAAGACTTTTAAAGAGACGAGGGAAAAGAGAGGTTAATTTTCTTTGTACACACGAACTAACAATTGGAAAACCAGCTTAGTTCTATAAGAAAATTTTTAACATTTTGACATAAAAAAAATGTGCACAGTGTTCATAATACCTATTAAATAAAAAGAAGTGCGTTATTTCCATCAGTTTTTGAGAGTCTTTGAAATAACTAAGGCTACATCGTTACGGTACGGTTGCAGTAAAAACGCGAGCTTAAATCGTAAGAACTGAAAAAGTACAGAAACCGCGCAAGAAGTACAATTTCAATTAATTATGCATAGTGAATTTATAAAGCGACTATCTGACCCGGCAGACTTCGTAGTGCCTCAATCGATAAATAAAAGACCTAAACTTTTGTATAAAATAAACTTAAAACAAACAAAAGGAATTCGTCCGGCGGGGGACACATCGAAGGAAAAACAAAATTGTTATTTTTATTTAATTCCGAGCATTTTCAAACTAATCACTTTTTAAACTTTCTCTGGACTTCAGACAAATAATCTGGACAAATAAATAAAGACAAAAATTAGCCAAATCGGTCCAGCCGTTCTCTAATTTTAGCGAGACTAACAAACAGCAATTTATTTTTATATATATAGATTTAACGCTAACAGAACAATAACAAAGTGGTATATATGTATCAAAGCACTTATAGGCATCATCCATCAAAATATATGGAAAAAATTTAACACGTCGAAATTAGTCTATTCTTAAATTCATTGTTCAAATATAGTATCAAAGATAAATAAGAAGGTTATAAATTAAATAGCGGAGGAACTGGGGATACCTATCAGCGACGCACTCCACCGGGCTGCAGGGCGGGATCGACGGAGACAGTTGGTTGACGAAATCGGACGGAGTCACGATCCTCAGCAGTGAGGAACCGATCGAAAAGAGAGAGAGAGAGATGCAATACTAGAATGTGAAACAATAACATTAAAGAAAACGAGTAGATTTTCAGAAAAGAAATTCCTTCCCAGGATCCATGTTATTTTCAAATTGCCTTGGTTGTTTAAAACGCCTTCAATTTCGGTCATAATAATCTTTTTCATGGAAATCACATTTTTACATTTTCTTTTACGTCAATCTATTGCTCTGCTTTGTTTGGATTCCGGATTATTCTAGAATCCATTATGAATGATGTAATCAGTTCATTAAATTGACCGCCTGATTCAGATTGATCGAAATCGTAAAATATATTTTTTCTGACGCTTTTTCTTGCCTAAATATAAATGGATGTATATTGGATAAAATTAAATAAATGAAAAATTTATAACTTTTGAAACTAAATTCAACCTTAATAATAGTTTTCATACAACCTTTTCCGAGATAATATTAGTCTCATCTAGATTTCAGTCGATGTTTTCCGCAGAATATAGTTTTGTGTTTTTGTTCAAAGAAATTCCGTCTGTTTGAAACAAAAAAAATTGATTCAACCATATTATCCTTTTCGGTACGGTTCCTTTGCATCATATAATTCTAGCTGCATATATTCTCAGTGTTACCGATAAAATATACCATTTTCCTAAATTGTTGGTATACCTAGTAGTAGTTGGTATTTGTTGTACCAAGATAATTCCTTTAAACTATTCTTACATTTAAATACATATTACCCTAGTCATCATATGCCTTTCATATACGATCTAAAGAAGTGAAAATGTAGTAACCCGCAATATAAAAAACTTTCCAGCAGAACCGAATTACTCTAGAAACATAAGCATAACTTCTTGTTTATTAAACCAACTGAATCAATTTATTAAACCGATTCTCATTGCTTGCATTGCTATTTCCTAAAAACCTACCACTTAAACTTTAATTATTCGACGCTGGCAACAGTCACTTCTATAAATATACCGACTATCTAAAAAAAGAAGAAACCTATTAGTAAAAAAATGAATGTGGGTAGACTAAAATTTTATAGCAAAATTTGACAGCTTAAATTAAAAATCTTAGTTATATTAATTAAAAATATAAATGTGTTTAAACATAAAACAATTATTAATCGCATTTGGCAATCGTCTCAGCCGCGTGATGGATTATCGTATTTTAGAAATGTTATTTTATACCAAAGTCTGTCACATAGAAAATCACGAATTTAGTTACGAAGAGGTGCAACTTTTAGTTGTTATAAAGTTTGAAACAATGTAACTAAAGAACGGACATAAACGAAGGCTGCTTCTGTGAAAAACGATAAGGATATTTATGCCAAAGGCGTAACCATAACTTTTCGGAATAAAACAATGGCAGGACAACATTTTACTGGTAGGGCGTTTTGTGACCTAACACGGGTAGACACCACCACCCTGCCTGTTTCTGCCGCGAAGTAGTAATGCGTTCCGGCTTGAAAAGTGGGGCAGCTGTGGTACTATAAAACTGAGACACAGAACTCATGGGTCGAGGTGATAGGTGTCACGAAGTGATTTAAAAGTTTTATCTGAGTTAGTATCTTAAAAATAACAACTGTGTGGCGAAAAGCTGTGTGTCAATTTGCTTCCCTGCATATTAGATACTTAAATAATTAACAAAATCATTTCTCTATTGTCTCTATGCCACGTTGCGTCCACTATCGCAGGTTTAAAAACCATCGCAAGCTAACAATAAAAATCCATTATTGTATTTTCTCCGGTTTTCTCGAGTCGTAAATACAAAACTACTGTCACAGTTTAAACTCGTTTTTAATATAATATTACTTCCAAAGTTTCGAATGTTTTAGTTTTCGTGGTAAGGGCAATCCATAAAAGTAGTATTAATTATAAATTATCCATTACCAATTCGCAATATGGGGTGTGTCGTAATAAACATAGTACTCGTGTATTTACAAATTTTACAAATTGATAAGAAATATACTAAATATTTTTTGAGATTAGATAGTACTTTTAATGGTTTTGATGCGTTATCTTTTTATAAATTTAATGTTTGAAAAATAAATTAATCATTGTCCGGTCGAACTTAAACTTGGATAGCTACTTCCACTGATGATATCCAACTATAAGCATTGCAAAATCCGTTCCATGTCCTGTTTTTACGTAAACGTATGCGTCTATGTTTTTAGATTTATGAATGTTTTGCTTGTGGACGGACATGTCAACTAACCCGTTATATTGATTACAGATCAGCGCAAACCAAACTCTAAATGGCAACACCGAAATTCATGTACCTTTCAACTTGGTGGCGGGATGGTGTCTCGAGGCGGAAGCATTGCCTCCTACACACCGGTTTGTCGATTTAATCTACATTTATATTTTAATATATCGTCGCTGTCAAACCAAAATCTGCTATATACAAAAACTCTATTTTGCATTAATGAGTAAAACATTTTCGTATAAAGTTTTATTTGAAAGTGAATTTTTAAGAACTATATCAAATGAAAGCTATGGATAAATATTAAAGCTATAGACAGACACATTCAGTTTTATTATACGGTAGATAGGACTGTGAACTATACGAAAGGGTCAAAAAGTAAAAATCAGATTTTGTTTTGACAACGACGATATTATTATTATTAATATTGCTTAGATTGGTGGGCCGGTTCACGGCCCACCTGGTGTTAAGTGGTCACCGGAGCCCATAGATATCAACTATGTGAATGACGCCACTCACCTTGAAACAGCTACACAATAGCTACCCTCATGAAACCGAAACGCATTTTTTTTTGTTGCCCTTGTAGGCAGACTTGCATACCGCCCACTTGATGGTGAGTGGTTACAGTCGCCCATGGACTTTAGCAATGCCAGAGGCAGAGCCAAGCCGCTACCTACCAACGCATTACTGCTCCACCGCAGAAATAGACGGAGTACCTCCTCTTGGGTACTCATACCTATAATAAATAATACATATATAGTAATATAGAAAGAAAATTTAAAAAAGTAATGCCCATTATTAAAACTTTTAATGCGAATGAAGCCCATTAATTATAATGCTAATAGGTAAGCAAACTTATCCGTCAGCCGTAGAATTAAAATGTATTACTTCTTCGAATTTAATTTTTTCCCCGTATACAATATGCTCTAGTGTCACCGTAGTAACATATTTAAAAAAAAATGTTCCTTATGTAGAGCCGGAAAACTGCTCGCTCTACGGTTGCTGTGCGAGTCCACACAGGCTCAGGGGCCGGGCGCGCCTTCCTCCTGCAACAACCAACTGCACCTCGCGCACTTGCATCTCTACCAGCGAGCTTTACATCACGGTATATTTAGCCATCTACTCTTATGCATATATTGTAACTCAACCTTGGCAAAAATTTCTAACCTTACTTCCCAATCCCTAGCTCAGAGCAGAATTACTCTAAAATCGCACAGCTCAAATTGAAAATGAGTTTATAAAAAGGAAAGTGAAAAAATAAGCATTCAAAATACTTTTCGTCTGCTGATTTACTATTAAGTCGGGCTATGACCATCTATATCCCAGCTAAACCGGTTTTGAACTATCTTTAAACAACTTACTCTAAATAGTATCTAATTACTTGCTTTGCGTTTTTTTTTGTTTGTTTGTTGTTTCGATGTAGGCAGCCCACAGGTTGTTATTACTATGTGTGCTTATGTATGTTTTGTATTCGGATCCACCATCTAATTGACTTTACTTGAGACCTTGTAACTTGTAATGTAGGGCTAGGTGTATGTACAGACTTAGAACATGGTATAAGCTAGTATAAAAATAATAAAAACAAAACAAAAATCAATTTATTTTTTATTGCATACATGGGTGGACGAGCGGTTACTGGAGCCCATAGACATCTACAACGTAAATGCGCCACCCACCTTGAGATATAAGTTATAAGGTCTCAAGTATAGTTAGTTACATTTATTATTACTACTAACATTATTACTAATTACATTGATCAGGTTTGACGGGCGAGGATCGGTCCGTAGTGGACGTACTGGTGGAGCACGCAGCGCCGAGGTACTTGTCGCTAGCCCTCGACGGGTACTCACTGCTCCTACTAGACTTCGTGCACGCATCGACTGTCGTACTGAACTCGTCCGATATGGGACCATCGGTACGTAGATCTGACGACAACGTTTGTGATATTGTTATTAGAAAGTTCGCTAATTAACTACGCGTTGGACTACGCGCATTCTTGACTATTTTTGTTTGGCCACTTCTAAAGCTTTCCTATGTCTATGAACGTTCTTAGTAAAGTTAAAGGGTAAATTATGTTGCAGTGTCCTCGCACAGCCGCCGTAACGTTCCTAGGATCTTTGCTGTCATTACCCGATGGATTGATGAATGCCCCCATGCTGCAACCATATCCTCATCAGTACAATACTGTTTCTTGTCCGGATCTCAAGGTATACATATTTTTTTTACTTTAGAATTTCATGCTCCCCTCCACGGTGTTTCCCAAGCGCTATGACATGTCCTTCTTCAAACGAGGCTTGTGGAGAGTATTAAGCGATAGGCAGCGGCTTGGATCTGCCCCTAGCATTGCTGAAGCCCATGGGTGACGGTAACCACTCACCATCAGGTGGGCCGTATGATCGTCTGCCAACAAGGGCAAAAAAAAATTATTTAGTTATAAAATTTAATTAGATAATTTTTATATTTCCAATACCAATACGTCTTAAACGTTTGATTTTTTTTTCTTTTATCTTTTAATACGATCTACTTTATTATAGTGTTAAATTTTCATTAAATATTGAATTAATTGAAACTACCAAAAAAGTCTGTAAATATTAACCTTATAAATGTGCCTAAAAACTTTGTGAACGAGCTGTGACTTGCGTGATATGTTCAAGCAAACATTAAAAGTGCCATTCCTACTACGTTAATATCATGAAATTTAAAATGACAAAATTTTTTTTGTTACTCATTTAAGTATTAATTGAAGAATTATTTTAATAATAAAAAATGCTTTAGTCAATTCTGAAGCATTTACTAACCTGTGTGAGACCATTCGGAAAGATAGTATAATAATATGTGTGGTAATGTATGAAATTCTGTGACTGTCAAAATTACTAAAAACAAATAGAGTACTTATGTATTTTCATTATTTTCACAAGTCATGCGAGTCAAAATCAGATATATTTTATAGCCCTTGTGGGCAGACGATCATACGGAACACCTGATGGTGAGTGATTACCGTCGCCCCTGGACTTCATCATTGCAGGGGCAGAGCAAAGCCGCTGCTTAAATTAATTTCCATTAATGAACTGAAAATCAAGAAAACCGAATGTCTTTTGTTGCCGGTGTTAGGAACACGTGTTGAATATAGTGGTGCGCGTGTGTCGCCGGGAAGGTGCGGGCGCGGCGCGTTGTGCGGGCGCGTGCGCGCTCACTGCGCACGTCACGCAGATGCTCGCCACACGGACCGCGTGTCCCAGGCTACCCTCCTACGTCACGTGTTTGCTGCAGATGCTCATGGTGAACACCTTTCATAGATCAATACAACATAAATTATCTCTTAAAGGAAAATTAACGAATTGTACAAAATGTCTCCCTTTTGTTATAAATTATCTATTGCACTACAGATCTACGTCGTTGTCATTTTCAACACCTTTCAATGTAAATAAGTAATTTTGTAATGATCATCAATATCATAATTATTTATATTCTAATATGATATGTCCCATTATATTAGTAAGGTTTATAATTAGGAAGTTAAATTTGTATACGTGAACGTTATATTATTGAACTTAACTTTTTATGAGAATTTTATTTTTTGTATTTCAGATGAAAAACAAAAACATTGCCAAAGTCGTCAGCGATTGCATATTAGTGCTTGCCGATTACACTGATCGTATTGTAGAGATGTACCCAGGACTAGCTGGTAAATAATAATGTTTCAAATAAATTTCATACTTAAAATTTATCATACATAAACTCTTTGTATTCATGGGATCTATTTAACCCAAATTGTTCTTTTTTTTATCATTTGCTGTATAGGTATAAAAATACCATTAGCATAATATATATATACAAGAGTAAAAGTTTCTCTAAGAGTATAAGTATAAGTAACTCAATATTCCCTAAATTAATGTTATTTGTTTTTATATGTAGGAAAAATAATTCGATGGATCTGCGCATGCTTGGCCCAACTTTCGACCAGCTGCCATCGTGACACCGTCAAACCACTGGCCGGGTCACTGCTGCTGTGCTTGGCTGAGTTTGCGGTGCGTTGCGGACCTCAGTACTTAATGGAAGAGAAGGATGGAGAACAAACACTTTTGCTGTTGATTTTTAAGGTTAGTGCAACTGTGTCTCGAGAAGACTATAAGCTGTCGGATGAAATAAAAAAATCTAAACTTTGTTTATAAGTTATATATTTAACAACATCATATAAAAAATATAGAAATGTACAAACAGGCAAACGACTGTACGCACCGTGTAGTAAAACCTACACTATGCGCGTCAATGCAGTATCTAACGGTGGGCCCAAATGGTTTGACCAAATATTGGGCTTGATTTATTGTTGGTACTGCTGTTGGTCCGCGCCGGGGTGCTCCACGTGCTCCTGGGGCTGGAAGCCGTGCTCGTCGGCGGTGAACGTGACTTTGTAGACCAGGCCGTCGGTGCCGACGTACTTGTAGCTGCCGGTCACTTCGATGGCCTTGTGGTCCTCGCTGATTTGCTTCAGGGTGCCCTTCTCTTGACGGGATGTACCGTCGCTTGTTTCAAAACTATAAGGAATGTAATGTTTATGAGATGACACATTTAAGATGAACGTAGAGTCTGCGAAGCATTGCTCTTGCTAGGGCCAGTGTTAGCAAAACTCCGGTTTGAGCCCCGTGAGCTCACCTACATTTTTTATTAATTTTTTATTGCTTAGATGGGTGGACGAGCTCACAGCCCACCTGGTGTTAAGTGGTTACTGGAGTCCATATACATCCACAACGTAAATTCGCCACCCACCTTGAGATATAAGTTCTAAGGTCTCAGTATAGTTACAACGGCTGCCCCACCCTTCAAACCGAAACGCATTACTGCTTCACGGCAGAAATAGGCAGGGCGGTGGTACCCACCCGCGCGGACTCACAAGAGGTCCTACCACCAGTAATTACGCAAATTATAATTTTGCGGGTTTCATTTTTATTACACGATGTTNTAAGTTCTAAGGTCTCAGTATAGTTACAACGGCTGCCCCACCCTTCAAACCGAAACGCATTACTGCTTCACGGCAGAAATAGGCAGGGCGGTGGTACCCACCCGCGCGGACTCACAAGAGGTCCTACCACCAGTAATTACGCAAATTATAATTTTGCGGGTTTCATTTTTATTACACGATGTTATTCCTTCACCGTGGAAGTCAATCGTGAATATTTTTTTTTTCAATTTTTCATTAGAAATATTGGTACCCGCCTGAGATTCGAACATCGGTGCATCGCTCAACACGAATGCACCGGACGTCTTATCCGTGAGGCCACGACGACTTCTAACTTCTACATGTTATAACAAAGCTGAAATAGCCTCTCTAGGCTATCAGCATAGGTAGAAAAAAAAGGGATGGCGTCAAGACATTGTTCCCATTTCTTTTTTAAATTAGCTTACAGTTATACTAGACCATATAGGCCATGGCGGCAGTTCTCTATAGATACGATAAGTTTTAAATTGGTAAATCAACTTCATACATAGGTGGAATTGTTCAGTTAGGAAATGTGATGCCGCTATTACTACTGCAGAAAAAGATGCGGAAGTAGTACTTACTCGAAATTGTAACCTTCCGGGTTGACGTCCGAATCCTGCTTGAGGATGTAGACTGGGTGCTCGGGCTGTTGTTGCTGAGGGGCGGCGGCGGCAACGGCGGCCAGGGCGAGAGCGACCAACAACTAGAAATGATCATAACTCATACAAACTAAACGAAAATAAATATGTAGTTGATCTTTACAAAAAATGGCGAATAGGACAGCAAATATCGCACCTTTAGTGTTATAGAGGCCCATTTCGCGAAATTTTTGGATTACGACTTTAATTCAGGTCAACGACCCTTTTCAGCGGCTTAATAATCAAATCACCAAAAGTAGCTTTTAAAAGGATAAACTTATACATCTGTCTCTTTCACTCCGTTCCTTTCCTTTACGTCTTTTCGGTTTGTTCGATGTTTTCCAAAAAACACATTTTTTGGGTTAGGTCTCTATAATTGTTAAGGTGCGATATGTAGACTCAACGTGTGAGTCATTGTCGGTATGTGAAAGCGATTGTCGTCTGTTCCGATAGAACGTTAGCTTGTTTTGTCTTCGTCGTCTTGGCTTAAAGGATAAGACGTCCGATAAATAAGATCGTGTAATAAAAATCAAACCCGCAAAATTATAATTTGCGTAATTAATGGTGGTAGAACATCTTGTGAGTCCGCACGGGTAGGTACCACCACCCTGCCTACTTCTGCCGTGAAGCAGTGATGCGTTTCGGTTTGAGCAACCATTTCGGTTTGGGTAGCCGTTGTAACTATACTGTGACTTTAAAACTCACATCTCAAGGTGGGTGGCGGCACTTACGTTGCAGATGTCTATGGGCTCCGGTAACCACTTAACACCAGGTGGGCTGTGAGCTCGTCCACCCATCAAAAGATAAAGATAGACAAAAACGACTTACGAATTTCTGCATTTTGATGATGTGTGGTGGGGGTGTAGGGGACTGCCGGCGCTGCGGTCGGTAGCTGACTGTGTTGCTCCGTGCGCGCTCGTCCGTTTTAAACGCGAACACTAATTGAGTGACAACACTATCTCGTACGTACGCGTAACATGGTGCTAATGAGAACACCCACCGCTCTCGTCCCGCACACGTGAAATTCGAGCCTCTCATTACACAACGGCTTATTTGTAGTATTGCAGCGCCGAACCGAAGGCCTCGTTAACAATGCGCGACCTTTACTCCCGTTGACATGCAGTTCAACTACCAAAAAAAAAACTTTCAGGTGTTGTACGCGGTTATGAAAGGAGCGAACGGATCCGACATTGAAGGCCTAAGTCTGCCGGTGGATGACGACTTCGACCCAACTATACAGTTGGACAATCTCGGGCCTAAAACGATTCCGGCATCAACGATCGACGTCAAGCTTTGGGCTCAAACGGTAATTTATTCATTCAAGTATCTTTTTTTAATCTATATATACATATAAAAATGAATTGCAGTTCGTTAGTCGCTAAAACTCGAGAACGCCTGGACCGATTTGGCTAATTTTGGTCTTGAATTATTTGTGGAAGTCCAGAGAAGGTTTAAAAGGTAGATACATATGAAAATGCTCGGAATTAATAAAAATAACAATTTTGGTTTTCCTTTGATATGTCCCCCGTCGGAAGGATTCCTTTTGTTTGTTTTAAGTTTATTTTATACAAAAGTTTAGGTCTTTTATTTATCGATTGAGGCACTACGAAATCTGCCGGGTCAGCTAGTTCAATATAGAAACGTTAACACAGTATTATTGGTGATTACTTAATTCTATTCGAAATACGTTTGAATTAACTCAGTCAATGAATCAAATGAATTAATGTGGTTAAATAAATTGGAGGCAAAAAAAAAATATGTTTACATCAGTAAATGAATTTAACTAAACATATTCTTTTAGTTCTTTCTTTAACTTCAATCTGCGATTAAGTATTAAAAAAATGTATTCGTGTGTGTATGCTCTCTTTCTAAGGGTTGGGTTCAGACAGTTGGTATATGGGACTTGATTTTGGCTTGGCATTAGGAATGGTTTTTAGACATTAATGAATGGATGTGTGATGCGCGTGTCGTCGAACAAAAGACGACACGTTGACGCATGGAAGACAAACAAACAAACATATCCGCTGGTATTGACACTGATATTAACACTGACTTGGCTGTGTCACTGACATTGCTGAGGTCGATAAGCGACGTCAATCACTCACTACCGATGGGTCGTACGCTGGACTTACTACTTCTTCTTCTTCATCGTTCCCTCACTGCTGAGGATCGCGACCACATGTGACTTTCCTCCATATTGTTCGGTCATGGGTGGCATAGACCGCATGGTATAGACTACCATGTCTTACTACAGAGGCAATAAAAATAAACTGCAATTATTATAATTTTTTTCAACAAAGTTAATGTCACACACAATCTCTGAACAGATATGCACTCAGCTGGTACTGTACCTCGGGCACTGGCCTCTCTGGAGCGGATGCCAACTGTCCTGTCGTGTTTCCGAGCAACACGACAGTCCGTCCCTGGGCGAGGAGCTGGGCCCCGCCGTGCTGACCGCGCCCAACATACAGCTGATGCGGTTCAGCGATTCGACTCTGGCCTCGCTCATTGAGCTGCCGGCCCTCGACCTGCCCGCCAGAGCCGGGACTACACCAGGTGCGTCCGTGGTCACGTAACGATATAGCGACTCAACTAGGTTCGATAATACTCCTTAAATGTCATCAGGTTTGAGTCCCGTGAGCTCACCTACTAGTTAAGGCGACGCTGATATAGCCTCTCAAGGCTATCAGCTTAAGTAGGAAAAAAATAATTTAAAATGTCGTCATCCGCTACAATACCCTTTTTTATTGGTTAGATGGGTGGACGAGCTCGCAGCCCACCTGGTGTTAAGTGGTTACCGGAGCCCATAGAGATCTATAGCGTAAATGCCGCCACCCATCTTGAGATATAAGTTTTAAGATCTCAGTATAGTTACAACGGCTGCCCTATCCTTCAGACCGAAACGCATTACTGCTTCACGGCCGAAATAGGCAGGGTGGTGGTACCTAGACGCACAAGAGGTCCTACCACCAGTAAAATTGCACATGTGTTTTTATTTCCCAATTATTATTTTTTCTATTTATAACTTAACGCTTTTTTGTTTAATTTTTTTTTTCGAATGACACGATCGCTAAATTAGTTTTGACTTGAAAAGTGCGTCTCGTCAGGTCTGACGACGTCGGAGCGTCAGGTGCGCGTGCTGCTGCGCGACATCGGCGGCAAGGCGTGCTGGGACGCGTCCGCGCTGTACTTCGACCCGTCGGGAGGACAGCTCGAAGCGCCCGAACCGCTACCCCTACCCGAAAGGTACCTTTTTATTTTTTATTGCTTAGATGGGTGGACGAGCTTACAGCCCACCTGGTGTTAAGTGGTTACTGGAGCCCATAGACATCTACGACGCAAATGCGCCACCCACTTTGAGATATGAGTTCTAAGGTCTCAAGTATAGTTACAACGGCTGCCCCGCCCTTCAAACCGAAACGCATTACTGCTTCACGGCAGAAATAGGCAGGGCGATGGTACCTACCCGTGCGGACTCTCAAGACGTCCTATCATCAGCAATTACGCAAATTATAATTTTGAGAGTTTGATTTTTATTACACGATGCTATTCATTCACCGTAGAAGTCAATCGTGAACATTTGGTAAGTACGTATTTCATTAGAAAAATTGGTACCCGCCTGCAGGATTCGAACACCGGTGCATCGCTAGATACGAATGCACCGGACGTCCTTTCCTTTACCACGATGACTTTAAATCAAACGCCTAGCTAATTATATTTAAAATCATTTTTAAATCCACCCGAAGAGAGACAAGAAATCGAAAATTAAAACGTCGATGTTTCAGCAACGAATGTCCAAGAGAAAATACACTCTCGTCCTTACCGCCCCCTCTGCCCCCGGACCTACTACCCGACTACAAAAACTGCCCACCGGACAAACACCAACTGGATCATGTAAGTGACCTTTTAAAATATGCAAAAAAAAAAGTTTATCCAACTATTTATTTACAAATGTTTTTTTAATAATTAAGCGAGGCTGTTAATCATCTCATACAATACCGAAAAAAGTTTTCATCGAAAAAGAACTAGTCACTAAGTTTTGTAAACAAAATGCTGTGTTGAGTTCGTGCGTCTCAATTTCATATTTCTGAGGCAGCTCGAATAGCAGTCCCTCCCTGCAAGACTCTCCATTAGCTTGAATCGCAAATCGGGAACACAAAATCGCAGCGAAAAATAAAATATCCGAATAACTTTGTCGATAAAATGACATAGATTTGTATCGACTTTTTCACTATATTGCCAGCAAATCAAGGGATTCAACGTTATTCGAAGCTTATATATAGTATAATATCATTTCGCTTAATACACGACCTTTATCTTTGTAATTAAAGGTGTGTTTTATTCGGTATTAGCAACAACAGTTCGATGTTTTCAATTCAACATCAATTATATTTACTTCATTCAAACACCTGAAGAAGTTTTTGTGCCATGATATTTTTTTTCCTAATTTTAACCTTTAAATACAATAACAATAATAATAAATCTATTTACTACATAAATTCTTAAATCATGACCTAAAATACTATTTACATATTTAACAAATTAAGAGATTAAGCAGATGGCATCAACAATATAATATTAACCAATGATCCTCACACTATAGTAGAATTATTTTGTCCGTGCAATTTGGGTCATAAAAAATCGGAGCGGTGAAGCGCTCTCTCTTCCACTCACGTGTCTTATGGATGGGAATAGTGATGCGCATTATTGTTGTCGATAAGCGTTATCGATAGTGTATTTAGTTTAGTCATTTTGTGGGTTAGTGATAAAAATGAAAGAAAAAATAACTAATCAAACACTTACACCACATATCGCCGCAGCAAGTTAATGAGAACGGCAGAAATTAACACTTTGTAACTTTTCGGGATTTATTCTTATTTCAGTGAAAAATTTTAACACATCGTTGATAACAACACGTGCAAATATTATTTTGAATAAATTCTGCCGTTTTGATACAAAACAAAGGAGTAGCCATTGTCTCACTAAAAAAATTCAGAGAACGAATGCCTAAAAACACATTTCTCTTCGACATAATGTACTATAATTTGCAAGTAAGTACAAATGACTCATAACATAACAATGTCTCACCACCCTTCGTATACCACCCCGCCGCCGTGTACCTGCCTTCGATGACTCATTTGTTTGTATCGATAAATGCGTTGCGCCCGCGCAACATGCTCACCGTCCTAGCCGGGCTATGTTTTATGACCCAAACTGCACGAACAAAATAATTCTACTATAGGCACAGCCCATATCACGAGGGCCAAAATACGATTTGCTGTGTATATAATCGACCCCAATCGACATCACTATTATTAATAATATATTATTACACTCAAAAGTATACGTTACAAGATTTAACATTTGAGTAATTAAAATAACACGTCAAATAATTACACATAATGTGTGGGGAGCGTAGAAATAAACAAATATAAAATAAACAAAAAAAGATACAAAACTAATAAATCTGTAACTGCTATTTCTTGTTTTTTGGCTTTCCGTAAAGTTTCAAAAATGTCGTTTAAACCAAATAACCTTTCACCTCTCGATATGTTTTTTTTTTATATATAGGTGCTGGCCTATATCGGTCGAACGTCGCCCGAAGTGGTGTGCGGTAGGAGACTAGACGAGGCAGGTCCGTCGCCGCTGCCGCCGGGCGCTGAGGACGAGCTAGTGGCGGCGCTGGTGGCGCATCGGAACCAAGAGCGGGCGTACCTCGCTAACAAAGACAAGTCTGTATATCTCTTATTCTTCTTTAGTTTTTGACTCCGGCACGGTTTGTGCATTAGATGTTAAGTGGTTATCGGAGCCCACAGCCATCTACAACGTAAATTCCGCCACCCACCTTGAGATATGAGTTCTAAGGTCTCAGTATAATTACAACGGCTACTCCACGCTTCAAACCGAAACGCATTACTGCTTCGCGTCAGAAATAGGCAGGGTGGTGGTACGGACTCACAAGAGGTCCTACCACCAGTAAATTTACTGAGACTTTTTCAGTGAACATTTTCAAAGATCCCGAGAAGCCACGTCCAGCGGCGTTGTTTCATTTTCCCACATTTGTCCACTTTCACAGATTCTAAACAGTTAATAAACCACCGTTATTACGCATTTGACCCTGAAAAAACACTAAATAGACAAAATAAAACAAATCACGCACCCTTACTCCTCGCGTTCCCGCCAAAAAGTATGTCCTGTATTTATGAAGTGATATTTTCGCCGTCTTTACAGTGATGAAGAGGTGGAGCTGGTCGAGACGACAGCGGAGCCGGCCCCGGGCCCGTTCTCGCAGTGCAGGCTGTTCCTCGCGCAGCTGGGCACGCTCGCGCCCGCCAGGCGGAGCCACGCGTACCTGCTGCGTCGCACCGACCGACTGCTACGGGAGCTCAGGAACCTCGACGCGCAGAGGTAGTAGCTTCATAATTAGTATTTAGTCTTCATCTGTTCGTATTTGTCGTAAGGAATCGGGCGTTTCTATTTTAAAAATATCGAAATTTATTCTGTTAGGTAATGAACTCAGTTTTTTTATTTTTATGTAGCGCGTGTAATATAATTGACAGAAAATGCGAAAATGTGTTGTTTACCGCAACAAAGTTAGAGCCAGTAATTTTTTTCTAATATCTTATATACTATGGACACCCCAATTTGTTAAGTGATTTGATTTTTTTTAGATGAATTTTTTAGTGTTAATATAGGTAGGGGATAGACAAGAAACGTTAAATTATTTTGATTGATTTGATTATTATTTATTTTGATTATTGTTTGATCGTCAATATCAATAAATTTTAGGTAATTAGATAATGATGGGAGTGTATATATTTTTGTAACCAACGTAACATTTTTTTTTAAATATCTAGATGTCGTGAGACGCACAAAGTGGCGGTCATATACGTTGGAAAGGGACAAGAGACACGGAACGAAATACTGTCGAACCGATGCGGCAGTCCTGCTTATGAAGCCTTTTTGGCTGCACTCGCCTGGGAGGTAAAATCATGGAAATTCCTTATTCGCACCGAATACATTTTAGATACAATCGCACAACTCTTTCAGAGAATGTCAATACTTATTGTCTGTCTATTAATCAGATGATGCGGATACGTGTGACTTCAGCCTAGTCAAATCGCTGCTTATATGTAAATGAACTTAAGTGTGTTTATTCGATGACGTAGCTAAAAATGAATAGAAATGACATTTAATTATTGAAATTATTAAAACTACTTTTACAGTTTAATCTCGCGTTTTTTTATTGTCATTATGTCATTTCCGATATATTAAAAAAAAAGTAATGGTGGGTGGTCACATTATTTCTGCTTTATGGGCTGAACTGGCTACTTAATACCTACCAAGTGGGTCATGAGCTCTGTTTTTTTATTTTTATTTTTTGTTATGGCTTAAATGAGTGGACGGGCTCACAGCCCACCTGGTGTTAAGTGGTTACTGGAGCCCATAGACATTCACAACGTAAATGCGCCACCCACCTTGAGATACAAGCTCGCCTAAACAGCAATAATATTAAAACAAATAAGATGTAAATTTGTAAAAATGTAATCGGAATGCGCTGCTGACAGGTGGAGCTGGAGAGTCACGTGGGGTTCACCGGGGGGCTGCGGGGCGGCGGGGCGGGGGTCAGCGCGCCGTACGCCGCCACGCTCACGTTCGAGGCGCTGTTCCATGTCGCCACGCGCATGCCCGCCGACACACCCGACGCCATACTCAACAAGGTTCTTAATCTTCTCTTGCATCGTTATTTAGGAGTGTAGCTCATATAAACGTGACAGAATTTAAACTTCTTGGACGACAGGGAGACAGCAAGCGATAATTGCTACGACGCGAATAATACTAGACTTCTTAGGGAAGATTTCGTGCGAACAATTTAACTCCAACTTTTGTTTAGTTATTTATAGATTTTATATTTCCATTCCATTTCTATTCACGTAAATAAAATTGAATCTTAATATTGACAAAAGATAGGGCTCAACAAGTTATTATTGAATGTTTAATTTACCTTAACAATTTAAAAAAAAATTGAATATCTATATTTTATCTTTTTAGACTCGCCACTTGGGAAACGACGAAGTTCATGTCGTATGGAGCGAGCATTGGCGTCCATACAAACGGGATACCCTGCCGACCCAGTTCTGTGACGTACTTATTGTGCTGTATCCACTACCCGGTGGGCTGCTGCGATGTACTATCACGAGGAAGCCTGATGTGAGTACCAAAATGTAACAAACTAAACATTGAACTATAAAATAGTTTTAAATTATACCGTAAAATGGGGGAATCGGGACACTTTTAAGTTCGACATTGATTTTTATCGTTTTTTTTTTTGTAGTTATAACGGCTGTTCAAACGGAGAACATAATGGTTCCGGAGGCTTAAGTTTTTATATACGATTCATTATTATACATAGTTCATTACAAAATACACTCAAAAACTGAAAAAACTAGCTTGACCCGATTCACCTTGGCTTTGGGGTGAATCAGGTTACGTATGGCGATAATAGAGTTTTTCGATAGGGCTGGCACTATTTAGTTGTTAGCTAGGTACCTTTTTACTGGTGGTAGGACCTCTTGTGAGTCCGCGTGGGTGGGTACCACCGCCCTGCCTATTTCTGCCGTGAAGCAGTAATGCGTTTCGGCTTGAAGGGTGGGGCAGCCGTTGTAACTATACTTGAGACATTAGAACTTATATCTCAAGGTGGGTGGCGCATTTACGTTGTGGATGTCTATGGGCTCCAGTAACCACTTAACACCAGGTGGGCTGTGAGCTCGTCCACCCCTCTAAGCAATAAAAATAATATAAAAATATTCTACTTCCAGTCCCTATTCCCCCCAGTCTTCTGTACGTATAAATCTTAATAGCATTTCTAGTCACAACAATCTATAAAGATTACATAGTAGAATGATGTGATGTTTGCAGGTGGGCGCGTTCGGTCCGGTGTGGGAGGAGAGCGTGGTGGGCGTGGCGGGGGGCGCCGCGCTGGTGCGGGGCGCGGTGACGGCGGGCGGGCGCGCCGTGCGGGCCACCATGCCGCTGTACCAGCACGCGTACACGGAGCGGGCGCGCTGCCTCGACGCGCTCACGCACCACCACACGCTGCACACCTCCTACGAACGGTTCGTCGAGCGCGTGCGCGACCCGCTCCCCGCGCCCCTCTCGCCGCACGGTACGTTCCCCGCTCCTCATATTTCTATGAACCGGTGCGATGCTTACTGGAAACCGTATACATTTTAACGTGCTAGCTTGGCCTTCTATCGCTAATATTAAATATATACGTAACATATAAGAATAACTTTGAAGAAATACAATTTTGTTACGATGATCATTTCAAAAGTACTACTCGTTTAAAAAAAAAAACCTGTTCGTTAAGATCTTAACCGCTCAATATAATCCATTAAGCATTGTAATAAAATAATTTTACAACGGTCGAATAAACGGCGGTCATTTTCTAATAGAAACCGGTAGCGGTCGTTTAGCAGCCGCTTTGCTGGACGCCGGCGCGAGCGCGTGGAGCGGCAGCTCGGAGTCGCACAGCGTGTCGCCGCGGCCCGCCAAGCGCCTGGGACCGTTCAAGCGGCTACCGCAGGCGTCGGGCGGGCCCCACACCGCGCCCCCCCTCTCCGACCCCGCGCACCCGGCGCCCCCCGCCCGCAGGAACCGGTGAACTCTACCCGCACACTGGCTTTAATGTAAGCCTGCTTTATATTCATCGATACGGTACAAGACCACGGACACGGGAATGTATCGAGCGATCACATCGACGAACACGTTTCCACTGATTGATAAATTATCGTGTCGGTCAATGAAAGTGCGTTTTAACTCGAGCTGTATGGTCCGATTTTAGACCCTTCATCGATGACGCTATCCGAAAGTAACGAAATCATTTATTAAGTAAGCAAATATTGATTGCCTCGTTGATATAGTGGTTAGTGAACCTGATAACCCAGGGATCCAGGTCCATTTCCAGTTCGGTTTCAGTACCTATGTTGAAAATTTTTGGGTTCTGCTTGAACTTATTCTACATTCGCAACGATCCGGACTATTCTATAAATAATACAATAAAATTTTAAAATTCGTGAGAAATCGTAATTGGAAATATAACGATCGATTGAATGAAGCGCATTATTCGAGATGCGCGGTTTATAAAATCGAATCCATAACAGTGGCCCATGTGGGGACGCAATTGTTACTAGAACATGGTGTGATTAGTCGCTTCATCGCGCACGAAAAATCATTTAAATGTTAGATGATCCAAGACGATCTGGATAATGGATAACAATTTCAATTTTAAAAATTGGTTTGTCTTGAATGGCTTCGTGAACGACGATCATTACGCACATTTACTGAAAAATACGTACACATAATCGTATCAGCACATTATATAGAACGTAATTGGCCTTTGTGTTAGCTTTCATGTTGATTTAATAAAAAATTATTTTGTTTCTTTTTCAATAAAAGTAGCGGTGAAAATATTTATACCTAAATTAAGCACAATGTATGTAACACTGGCGTTTTGATGCACTAAATCAGGGAAAAGGCACATAATAAAAATCTAAAAGTAATTTCGAAAAAGCAAACGGATCGAAAACGTACAGCTTGGCATCACATATATCTAAATATTAGGTTACATTTTATTGGCATTATTTTCCAAATGAAAATTAGGAGACTTTTTGTGGTTGTTCTGAATTTTTTTAAAACGTAGAACATATCAAGATATCCAAAGGTCCGTAAACGCTTTATGAACATGGTGCTAGTGTTACGAGGCATAGAGAAAAATACTCTTTGAGTGTATATAAATTATATCATAAATGTTTTTTTAAGTTTTAAAAAGCTTTAGAATGAGCCTATGATTTATTTACTTTACCTATTTAGCCGTAAAAATCTCATAATGTCTACGGATCTGAATACAGGGATTTTTAATTGGTGGTCCTCGTTATTTTGCCGTATCTTATTTAAAATCAGTTTGTCTAATAACGATTCAACATCCTGCGTATTAATTACAATGGGTACACATATTATGTAGAAATAATGAATGCCAAGATTATATCCTTTGGTATCCCAATATCCTTTGGACAAGCGATTATAAAAATGAAATAATAGTGCCAAAGATCTTTAATATATTATGTAGAAACTAATTTCAAAATTCTATTAGTCTTAACGATTTTCCGAATCTGCAATATTTGCCTTTTCCCGATGTAAAGTATCTATATCGTTTCAGAATTGTGAAATACGACCATAATATTTAAAAAGAATTTTTATGTTATCCAAAATTATGCAATGCGTTCAAATACACCAGCAAATACAAGATTTTCACCTGAGGGATGGACTTAATGAATTATTAAAGTACTTAATTATTTCTAAGATAAAGTTGTAGTTCGTTATTTTGCATTTAAAATGCAAAGTTTATTTTTGCGAAAATGTTTATTTAACTTCAATTAACTTCTAAGTAACTTGAGAGATTTATTCAACTAGGTATTTAAATGAGTTTATGCCAATATATGTTGATCTGAGATGAAATTCAAGAAAACTGGTCATGTTTTGACGATCGATAATAAAATAGATGTGCGAACGGATTTACGTATTATTTTTGTTCTGAAATACATAAAAACTGTTTTAATGTTTTTTTTTGTTTCGTTTTGCCCCAAAATTTTACTTTATTTGAATAGTTTCGTGCAAACATTCGACATTGCATTGATGTACTTGTATATATGTAAACTACTGTAGAGCTTTAACTGTTGTAGGTCTGTTTATAAATAGGTAATAACTGTAATATTTATTTTGCTTCATGATCTTACTAAACCTTCACAAATACATAACAGGACTTAACTGCACATTTGTGTTTTCTAAAATTCAAAGTATCAAACATACTGTTTTTAATAGTAATAAATGTTAAAATTGGCTACTAATGAATTTTCGTTGAAAAATGTAAAGCTTAAAAAAGGTTATTTAGACTAAAGCATGACTTCTCAAATATTTCTATCATCATTGGCACTACCTTTAATTATTAACATTCCATTTTATTAGGAACTGCCTATTGGCATAATATTGTTACATAATAATGTCCTATTAAAGTGTAATTAAAAGAAAATATTGAAATTATTGAAAACTTTGCAACCATGCATTTAATTTTTTTAGACCCAATGCATTCCACCCTGCATATTTATAATGAATCTGTATTATCTCCAGTATGTTTTTCTTGTCAAATTAGTTTTATTTATTTATTGTTACTTCTTAATTTAAACAGTATTTTAATAGATATTAAGACTGACACATGATAATGTATTAAATTCACTAAGTATTTAAATGTTATTCGTATTATTTTATAGTCAAGTGGTGGTATTACTTATTTTAATTTATAATGTATTTTGTTGATGGAACAGCTTAAAGAAATTGTTTTAAGCATCTGAACTTTTAACTTAAATAGACATGTAATGTAACCAAATTAATATATAAAAGGTGAAAATAAAGTTTTGTTAACTTTCAAGTTCTTTTTTATTTCTGATAAATATTAACATCTATGTCTTCGGCAATTTGTACATGCCTCCTTGAAGTACCAGTTGATGTGTTCTTACTTTTGTGTCTAAAAATTGTCTCAGCTCCATAAGACTGCATTCAGTGCCTGGAGCTTGGGAAGCAAACATCTTCAACATTTGATGTATTCTGTCCAAAGGCAAACAGTCCAAGTTTGTTAACATGCCTACAATATAAGACCAAAAAACTTGCAGTTCACCTTCCCGCTGATCATGTGCTGATGCCATGGCACTCTCAGTTTCTTCATCTTCACAAATCATTTCCTGTACTTGATGTGAAGGTACACTGGCTTTATTATCAGCCTCAACTAAAACAAAGTGATCTGTACTTTTTTCTGCTATTAAACCCATCGATTGCCAGTACGTTATTTTCCTTCTCAGAATAGTAATAGGAACTTTCATCACCTGATGGAGTTCATCTAACGTCCATTCAGATTTATTTTGGAAATGCATTATCAATGTCGCATTAAAAGGTGAAACTGTCAGATCTAACTTCTTTTCGCCTATTTCTATCTCTAAGTTTACATTTCCAAGGTGTGGTTTCCAGCTTAATGTTCGATTACCTTTTAAAGCTTCATAAGATTTAGTGTATGCTTCAAAATGTTCCTTGATTTCTTCTGGTAATTCCAGACTTTCATCTTTAAATGGTGGCCAAAACTGTGCAGATAAAATCATTGCATTAGAAGTAAATTTCTTATTCAGCTCCTCAATGGTTTTGTCCTGATGTATTAAGGAATTAATTCTCTTTGAATCTGATATATCTTTAAGCATGACTTCACAGAAGTGTAATTGTGATTCACCAAACCTTATTTTTAATAGCTCCAGGTACCTAATTTCTTTTTCTGTATTGATAACACTTTGAGCCAGTAATCTATCAGCTAGTAAAGTTCTATATTCATTAACAAACAATTCCTTGCTACCATAAACATTAACAAGCATAGATATAATATCATTAGTTCTTCTGTCATTTGAATCAACTTTGGGATCAGCATCAACTGGATCAGGATTCCATTCATCCCAAGCCTCATCTTTATCGGCATCGCCATCTCCTTCTGCTGCAAATTTAGCTAGCTCTTCAGCTAACTCACTACCAGCACCTTCTTCTGTCAAACTGCTCACAACACTCCTCACTGTATCTTCTCTACTTCTTAAATAATTACGAACAGGTTTTGTCACTGTTTCCAGTATAACACCAGAAGGATCTAGGTGTCTCAANTTCCATTCATCCCAAGCCTCATCTTTATCGGCATCGCCATCTCCTTCTGCTGCAAATTTAGCTAGCTCTTCAGCTAACTCACTACCAGCACCTTCTTCTGTCAAACTGCTCACAACACTCCTCACTGTATCTTCTCTACTTCTTAAATAATTACGAACAGGTTTTGTCACTGTTTCCAGTATAACACCAGAAGGATCTAGGTGTCTCAAAGCTCTAATAGTAGATATGTAAGCAGTGAGTATGTCAGGAGTGTTCACGCCTGGGTGAAGAAGCCTTGTTTCTAATGCATTCTGTAACTTTTTACATAGAGTTGGTCTCAAATCTGTTTTTGCTAAACAAATTTTGATGTCATCAACAGCAGGCTGGGAATCAGGATATTCTATTATGATGTTGAAGAGCTGATCAATTCTTGTTTTTGTGTAGCTATGATAGAGATAGTATGTGAGTTTCTGTTTGAATCTTGAGATTGCATTTTGTATATTTTTATCATCAGGTGGAGGTTTTGAGGAGCCAGCACAATAAATTCTGATCAACCAAGACATTACTGTCGTATTAAGCCAACTTTCTAATGCTTCAATGTGGGACACATCAAAAGTGCCAGTACATACTTTCTGTATATGAGACTGAATTCTCAACTGGATGAAATTAGTTAGAACTTGACCTGTGAGTCTTTCTAACAATTGTAACTCCACCAACTTCCTATTTGTTTCATGAAATACTTTCACAATGTATGCACAGTTACAATCGGAATACTCGTTTCCACAACCAGAACACATTATGTCCTCGCCCATGTCGGAGTTTTCATATTCATTATCGAAAACATTAAAAGATATTTTGTAGAATTGGTTTATAATACACTGAAAGTCGATGGGTAACTGAGACAGAAGAGTAGCTCGGACGAGCTGCTTAAAACCTAATACAAGATTTTTCTCGCCATAAATTAACTTATTATCATTACAACTACTGTTCAATTTAGTCAATCTTTGTAACATGGGTGAGAAACTAGAAACTGCTTCATAGAGATCATTCACTGAAGATTTAAATAGTTGAAATCCTTTAACTTCTTCCGCGGTCTTAATATATTTTGACCAAAAACTAGATGCGACATGTTGTCGTAGATATTTCTCAATATGAACAAATACAAGATCACGTATCTTTATTTGGACACCCAAATTAACTATTAACACTTGCACTTCATCGTATTCAGCCTCAGTACAGTCGCTGAAAATTTTATCATCGAGAATTGGATAGGCATAGTTTATTTTATTCCAGTACAGTTTCAAATCTTCCTTTTTATGATTTATATTCATCATTATTGCAGGTCAGTTATNATTAAAAGCGATTGCCACAGAAGGTACAAAGAAATTTGGATGGTTAAAAACATAAATTGATACGCAAATAATCAAGTAACAAAAAAATTTAACTATATTTTTGATACTTTAATACATTACAATCACAAGTTTTGTTACCATTATTATAAAATTAAAAGCGATTGCCACAGAAGGTACAAAGAAATTTGGATGGTTAAAAACATAAATTAATACTAAATTATGACTCCTCTTGCAATTGAAAAACATTTTGGACTACATAACATGAATTAACATCAACAATGAAAAGCTTATGATAAAACATTAGGTTATTATTCTCGAGTGCTAAATACCTATCAAAAAAAAACATATTTCAGAACAACGAATATCTTAATATTATGAATGATTTGATACGTAATTATCATAAAACACGTTCCGATGTACTGCGTCAGTAAAATTGTTATATCTACTGCTTATCTATTTATCGGCCGTGATTAAATCATTACTCACATTTAGATAACGTAAATTGATTGGACACGCTTTGAGCTTTTTATTCTGGTTCATCGATTGAGTTACGTTAACTTACTATTAGTTTTACTAAATAAATTTATTCAGGGTAACTTTTTATGTCTTACAAAGCTCTTTGAACCAATCCCTTGATGTCTGTTCAGAATAATTCAAAAGTGGACCATATGATCGAATGTCTATCCTTAGAGCTTTTTAAAATGTAATCGGTAATATAATTTATCTGTGTGATCGTTTTCAAGAATATCCCTATATAATTAACTATATATAGGCTAGAGGCCGAGACGCTAAGAAAGAGTCTAGAAATTACAGCCGAGCCCAAATAAAGGTATTATAGGCAAAACACCACCTTAAGGATTTGATTTGTAATTTGTCATTGATCTTGTTACGTGTAATATGAGCAATGTCTAAAACTTAGCGCCCACATTTACTTTTATTAACGTGACTTCTTGTCTTTACACTATTTCTACATCCCAAATATCCTTAATACTGACATCACTCCCAACGCAGTCCACCTACTTTAATGTATAATGAACTTAATAACCCTTTATTTTAGGATTGAAATCGAACTCGTAGACTTTTCCGTCATCATTGATAATTTTGTGACCTCCGCTTTTGTCGGTCTTCTGTCCGTTGATGTCTGACGATGAATGGAATGTGTACTCGGATTCACCGTACACATGGCCTCCGGGTATTGGCTTCAAGCTTTTGACACTGCCCGCTGACACTGGCTGTAAATATAAATGATCGTTCTATATTTAAATGTCTTGAGCTAATGAGCTTGAACTTTGCTCCAGCGTTACTGATAGTGGAAAACACACAAGACAGAAAACAAACTTGCAATTTTCACGCAGTACAGATATTTTGTGTTTATGTCATTATATTGCAAGCCTCATTATGTTTGAAGTTGTCGTGGCTTGAAGGGTAAAACGCCCGGTGCATACGTATCAAGCGATGCGACTGTGCCAGTGTTCGAATCCCGCAAAGAGGTACAAAATATTAATTTGCGTAATTATTTGTGGCAGATAATTTTGTTATCCCGCAGGGGTAGATACCACTACCCTGCCAATTTTTGTCGTGAAGCACTAATGCGTTTCGCTTTGAAGGGTAGGGTACTGTAAAAACAGAAGTTAATCCATTCGAATGGCTGGCTCCCGTGTATCCCTCGCACTTGTAACGCCAGTGACACAATACCACTTTTTTTTTCCTACCTATGCTGAGATAGCCTTGAGAGGCTATTTCAGCTTCACCTTGACGGTGAGCTCACGGGGCTCATACCGGGAGTGTTGCTAGCACTGGCCCTAGCAAGAGCAGTGTTTCGCAGAATCTACCATCGGATCGAAAACGCGACCCACGAGAAGATACGACGAGAAACTCAGTGGGCTGTGTCTGTGGGTTAAAAGTACCACGACAAACGCACGCCAAACACAAATAGACCACAGCTACATTTATTAAGTACTCTTTCTTTCTTTTACTTTGTTTGTTTATTGACTATACAGTCCTATATTTATATGTGGAACCATGTCGCCCTTCGAAATGTACGTGGAGAGGTATCAGCTTTCTACTTTAAAAAATGTTTAAATTCAATTCTACTCACTTTCCAACTATCGTTCTCGTTGAGTTTACTGTTAATTCTGTAAAAAAAACAAAGCTAGATTATTTTATATGTAACAAATAAAACTGATCACAATATCGTATTTTTGTTCGCTGTCAACCTTAAGATTGAGAATTACTGTCTTTAGTATACCCCTTTGCCATACCTCAATTCAGTAGTTCTTGTAATGGGACCTCATGTCTCAAAGTAGCCTTCATATTGCGCTGTCTATGGACTCTGGTAAGCCTTTAAGACACCGTTTTGAAGTCATTTTATAGTTCGTTCAACGGCTTTAGTATTAAGCTGAAACTCCCAATACAATTTTATTTGCGCGCCGTATCTTCGGATTCTATGCGCGATTTCTGGAACGCCAATCGGCCTCCGGATGAGGCGTCGCGAGAGGAAGAGGACCGGTTACACATTTAGTAGGGGATCGAACCCTATGGCCCAACAGGCGATGGATTGAAAGGCCCAAGGAAGGCGCAAGCTTCTTAAGCGAATGTGGTTGCGCACAAGGCAAGTTGAGGCAGAAAATCAATGAGTGAACTTTAACGTAAAGCTCTGGATCTATAGCAATGCAGAAGCACTGTGGATGTCCTTTGCTACTTCAGAGGGCCATAAGAACTTGGTATACGATACATGCGTGTCTGAGGTTGTCTGAATTCTTAGAGTTTCCATCGAAGATACAATTTAATTAAGGAAATTCTTTAATATAAATCGCTAAAAATATGATGTCCTTAGAAGCTATAGCTGTTCGAAGTGTTATTTTAAGAATGGGTATTTTTTAAATATAATGTATTAGGAATTCTACAAGGGAAATTATTGTTCAATTTCTTCTCTATCTTCTTCCCATTTCTTCTTGTATTTCAATTGGTCATAGCTATAGATGCAGAAATAGGTGGATTGTGAGCTCGTCTGCCCAGTCACGTCCAGATTCTCGATCCGGATCCGGGTCTACTCTCGGAGCTTTTAGGCTTTGTAAGCTCCAGGCACCGTTCTCGTCGAACTCGTCGAATACGACGAAGCGTTCGAGGTGGAACTTAGCCGATAAATGCAACCAACTGAGTTTCTCGCTGGATCTTCTCAATGGATCGCGATCCGACCCGATCGTAAATTCATTGTAGCACAACCCTTACTAGAGCTAGTGTTATCAGGTCCCCCCAGGTAGGGCCCCGTGAGCTCATCTAGCAAACTGCGCGTACTTGGAATAAGCTACTAACGATTAGGTAAGGGGAGAAAAGTCTTCCTATCTACGTTGTCGATTAATTACTTACAATTCATGAACTTTTTCCCAATCTCCAGATGAGGCAGCATCAAACAACTCATCACCAATTGGAAAACTTGGGACCGCTGAAACAGAACAATATAAATCTACTTTGATTTATTAAACTCAAAGAGTTGAGTGAAAACATACTTGAAATGCCCATAAAACCATTAACGATTTTTTATTTAAATTTAATTTAATTTAATTTAATTTAATTTAATTTTTTAATTTATTATTGGAGTGGATTGCCGTGCTTATAATTTGAGCAGTTTTCAATATTAGCAGTTTTTGTATCAACTTTAGTTTTTAACGTTTGAGTTGAAATATCAGAAACCACACAAAAAAACACATAAGAACATTTGAAGTTACAGTTCACTTAATTAACTAATTTATAAAATTAATTAGTTAGCAACTTCATTAAAAACTTCATTCATTTTTCACAAATACATTTTCCAATTAAAAGTTTCCTTAAACGCTCAAATTATATTGAAACGTCTATGCTTTTTAGAAACATAGCATAGCACAGCTTAATTAATTCTGTGAGCTTTTTATAATACCACTAAATCGTTGTAACTTATCATCATGATAGTGTGTAGATAAACATAACATAAAGTAACAAACATTACGTAAACTATAATATGTAGTATCAAGTAATCTGACATTACCATAAAAATATTGATTCACACCTAAATATTCAATTCAGAAGAATAACCATTATTTCCGCCGTGAAGCAGTAATGCGTTTCGGTCCGAAGGGCGGGGCAGCAGTTGTAACTATACTGAGACCTCAGAACTTATATCTCAAGGTGGGTGGCCCGTTTACGTTGTAGATGTCTATGGGCTCCAGTAACCACTTAACATCAGGTGGGCTGTGAGCTCGTCCATCCATCTAAGCAATAAAAAAAAAAAAAAACCAAAATCGGAGCCAAATAGATATATTCATCAATCCCGTTTTTTAAATTTAAAATACTAACATATATTCAAGAACAAATATGAGACAAGGATCAGTTATTTAAATAAATCATTGCCGGCACATGACGTTATTCAATTTATCAAACTTTAAAATTTCAAGGATACCTTTTGACCTCATCTGCAGTTTTATTTGCTAAATACCATACGTCGTAATTAAATACACACATTAAGCACGTTTTCGTGTGTAAAAATATGTGTCGTTGGAATCAGACTTGTAAGCTTGTGGCTTTAAGATTAATACGTAATAACACAATAGTATATATTGTACACGTGCACAATAGTGAAAACAAGTTTCAACTTTTTAGAATCTTTTTAATTATTAAATAAAAAACAACATGAATTTCGTTTCAAAAGTTTTGTCGATCGAAAAAATCGAAAAAACAGACATAAAAAATACCAAAACAAAAATCTAAAAACCTATAGCCACTTATCATAAGCCATGTGCGCACGACTAAGCAAGACAAAGTGCTGAATTTGTACACAATGTTCCTTACTTTGGTTCCTTACAATCTATACGACAAAACAACACGATAAAGAAAACTAATCTAACTTATAATGTAAGAAAATAATTTTATTCACAATATACATTAAACAATTACGCTACTTGATTTATTTAATAAGTGTGGAGGATGTTCTTGAACATTTTTATAAACGTCCCTAACCTACAAGTAAAAGTATCCAACTCAGTTAAGTTTACCCCAGCTTTTCCCAAAGTGAGCGATAACGCCCCCTTGTGGGCGCTGCAGGCCTAAAGGGTAACAGACCCAGAAAAAAATGGGAGCGTTGTGAAGAAGCTTGGGAGGCGATTTCTAATTTCATTTATGAGGACTCTTAGACACCGACTGAGCTCTCGTTATTAAGTATGTGAAAAAATAGGGGCGCTAATAAATTTTTTATTCTCAAAGTGGGCAGTAGACAAAATAAGTTTCGGAGCCCCTGGTTTACCCCATTCAATTAGCTGAAGAAGTTTTTCGTTATGATATTCTATCTAGGCTATCCTGTAATGTTGCAAAAATGTCACTTAAACCGAATAACTTTTCACCCCTCGATATATGTATTATATACATGACTGAGACTTCGGGGGACTTAAGGTTGGATTAGTATCAATTAACAACCATATCAAGAAGTTTCTGGTTAGGTTCGCCATTAAAAACTAATTCATTTTACGTTTAATATAAATATATACACATTCGATTTTTGTGCTGTACAAAAACTCGTTTGATGCCTAGATCAGCCAGTTTTTGTAAACATTATTTGAGATAACTATTTTAAAAAAACAAATAAATATTTAGAGTCGGTAATATTTTCCTTGTATTCCTAAGAATTCCTAGCAACATGATTAATTATGTTCCAAATGTACGTACTTAATAATAATGAAATAATGAGGCGCATTTTAGAACAGCGTGTTCACGGAATAAGTCATATGTCAACAACTAAGTATAAAATCAAGCAATGGTGTACAATTTTCTAAATCTTTTCAATATCCTCCGGTAGAGCGAACGAGTGTCATTTCTTTGACTGTTGTAGTGTTTGCTGCGTGTCGATCGAGTTTTTTTATTTTTTTATTGCTTAGGCGGTTGGACGAGCTTACAGCCCACCTGGTGTTAAGTGGTTACTGGAGCCCATAGACATCTACAACGTAAATGTGCCACCCACCTTGAGATATAAGTTCTAAGGTCTCAGTATAGTTACAACGGCTACTCCACCCTTCAAACCGAAACGCATTACTGCTTCACGGCAGAAATAGGCGGGGTGGTGGTACCTACCCGTGGAGACTCGCAAGAAGTCCTACCACCAGTAAGCTATACCAATGAAAGAATATGCATTTTTTATTTTAGTATCATTTTCATTTCCATTTTAGTATCAAAAGCCTAAAGACAAAACGAATTTAATGCTTACGTATTAAATTCTAGAACGTATCGCATTACGCACGTTTAAGTGTGATCGCTACATGGCAAAAATGGCCAGGGAAATGGTACTGATCTGTGCGGATAATTAGCTCTATAACTGGTAAATGCTGAATGGCGATCTGGTATAATAATTAGAAAATGCTCCTATTGATTCTTCGCTGAATGTATTTTCCTACCCACCCTAGGAATGAGAAGAGATTGTTATGGTTTTACTAGGCCATACGACTGAACGTGGTGGTGTAACTATCTTAGTTGAAATTTGGCAGCAATCATTGCTCCCATAAATTCTAGTTTCGAATTCGATCATAAAGACCAGGCCAGTTGACACCCTGGCCCAAAAATGTCAGGTTTCTGGCAGTCACTCTGGACAACTCAATCAAATTCTGACTCCAAAAAAAGTCAGTCCGAGATACCATCATACTCATTAATTCTGTGGTACCCGTGCCCGTATAAGTTTCTTCCAAATTCTCTTAATCTTTTTCTTTAGGGTAGTCAATAGAGTCTCGTCGTATATACAGAAATATTTCTCAAAATAATTCATGTATTAACGTCAGTAATATCACGTTAGTAATATTTAGTAATATTATTCAACTCATCATCAGTTTTACGGCATTGTAACAACCAGTCGTAAATTAATACAAACGATCGAACTCCATAATTAAAACGACATTTGAAATTTACGGAAATAAGATTGAATTTACAATCTTATTATTTAGAGCCGCTCCAACGAGTCTGTGGATAATCACTGTTAACAATTTAATAGAATTGTATATGTATATGTACATATGTCTATTGACTTTTTGCCATAAACATAAAAAGTCTATACAATTTTGAGGATAACGGATAAGCTTTGCGTATTCATTTAAGTAAACCGGAGAATCAGGTTGATATCAAACATTCATACAATGAAAGTAAAATTTTGAAGATTTCCTATGGCTTTCTTAGTAAATTGTGCTATTAACTTAACAGAATTACAACGAAACATTGGTCCCCAATGGAATTAGGATGCATAGATTATGTTTGAAAAAAAAATACGATTTTAATTACTACAGCCAAGAGCAGAGGATTTAAGGTAGAAAACAGTTTAAAAAAAATCATGCTATGTAAATTGGCTTTGTAGCGTCTGCTTGAAATAGCCCTCTCCACCCAGTGTCTTGATAGGGGTATCGATTAAGGAATGGGAGAATGAGTATTAGCGTTCTCTGAATATTATACCAGCGTACGGCACTCGCCAGCAGCGATTTACTGGTGGTACCACCGTCCTCCCTATCTCTACCGAAGCAGTCAGCAGTCATTTTATTGCGTATTGCGTATTTGGGCAATTTTTTTTTATTGAAATCAATTTTATGTCAAAAAATAATTGTTTTAACATTTCCATTTATGCAATATTCGATTTAAAGCTGTCTCTTCTCTATCTGTCTGTTATTAAAACGTAAGTGATTCCTGTCCTCGTTTACATGCTAGAAACTCCGACATAAGCGCTCTGTGGAGGCCACACCGAAAATTTACTATGATCTGTTATAATAATAGATTAAACAGTGTGCGATACTTTGAAATTTCCGTCACATTTCACGAACGCGTCTCACGAAATTCTCTCAAAATCCTCGTAAATATAATAGATATGACGTTTGGTTTTCTCAAATAATAAAAGTTTTGAAATTTGTTTTTCCTAAGTTCTCAATGTCTTTCGAATGTTCGATGTAGTTAGATATTTATCCAAATTCTTCTGCGTCTAATCACATATTACACACAAACATAAAAAAAAAACCAAGGCTCACTTTGTTTTCAATCAAACGCATTAGCATACCGGTGGTGTTAACGCTATTTTGTCGAATTTATTGTGAATTTCGATTCATGTTTTATTAAAATATTTTTATGGAACGTATTTAAATTTGGAACCCGTTTTAGTATTTGTTATTTGAACTATTTTTTTTTTTATGAACTGAGATGTTCGAATTTTTTCGAATTTAGAATTTGCAGGAGTTCCACAAATATCCAAGAAAAAAATCTAGCAATAGTGATTTTCATATAAAATTAATAAATATTCTTCGGTGTTATATTTTTAAGATAAATCTTTACTCAAACACTAGAGATATAGAATTAAGCAAAAATGTAAAAATACTGGTTCCATCAATAATTGCTGACTTGATAAAATAATATAATAATATTTGATCACGTCAATAGAATTCAAACTAGAAGTTATGTGGTTGAGCAAGAATAAATTCTTTTGCGAAAATTATCAATGTTCAAAATAAAATAAAATCCTATTATAGAAAGTGTATAATTTATAATTAGGAAATATAAATTACAAATTTTCTGATGAACTCATGGTACCACCAGTACCGTTTTTTTTTTTTTTTTAATTTTTATTTATTATCAATTCGAACAATTTTATTAGGGCATATTAGTTATTATAATATTATTGTGAATTCGAGCTCATGTCTCGAGGAAGAAGGTGGCTTTCCCAATATCGGTGGGATCAGAAAACCAGCTCTTTGATGTTTATCCATCAAAGAGCTGGAACGAATTTGCTAATCGGGAATTTTGAATATAGAGCATCTCTAATTAAATGAATGTATATTAAAAATAGTAATTTTACACTTCTCGTTAATGCAATTTTGAAAAGTAGCTATATATCATGTAAGAACCTATCGGAAAAAACCAACCGTATAATTAATTGATTGATTAATTAATTTTGAAGTCGTCGTGGCCTAACGGATAAGACGTCCGGTGCATTCGTGTTGAGCGACGCACCGGTGTTCGAATCTCAGGCGGGTACCAATTTTTCTAATGAAATATGTACTCAACAAAATAAATGTTCACGATTGACTTCCAGGGTGAAGGAATAACATCGTGTAATAAAAATGAATTCCGAAAATAAAAATATAACCTGCCTATTTCTGCCGTGAAGCAGTAATGCGTTTCGGTTTGAAGGGTGGGGCAGTCATTGTAACTATACTTGAGACCTTAGAACTTATATCTCAAGATGGGTGGCGCATTTACGTTGTGGATGTCAATGGGCTCCAGTAACCACTTAACACCAGGTGGGCTGTGAGCTCGTCCACCCATATAAGCAATAAAAAAAAAAAATTGAAGATCCAGATTTTCATGGATTAGTTTCATTAATATAAATATGAACGTTTAGTAAAAATAATGCCAATGTGCCAATCTCCTTTCGTGCTTACATCATGTTTGCTTGATATGCTATACGTTTTTAAACTTTATTCATTCCATATTATGACATATTTACATTTGACACTTTTATTATCAATGTTTTTTTTGAAATACTTAGATAATATAATGTTTGTATTATTCACTACAATAGTTGCAAAATTATATTAGTAAAATGTTAGGCTGTTTAGTTGATAATGCCTTCGCCTTATCAGTTTTGAAAAACAAATCTACTAAGTCTAGACCGGTACAATATACCTTACAACTTACTCACCAAGTGGTACTCCCTCATACAGGATCACAGAATATATTTAACCAGTACTGGATATAGATTACAAGAAGACGCCGATATTGCAGATGGACTTATGGGATCCGAATTAATAGATTTTTATCATGTTTTTATGGCGGCTGATAAACTCAGGACACGTTTGGCCTTAATTGGTTAACTGAGCTCATTGACGACATGAATACCGCCAAACACCTTAAAACCTGAGCTCTATTTTAATTGGTCTCAATTCTATAGTAATATAAAATTTAATAGTAAAAAATAAAAATCGATTTTTATTAAACAACCTTATTCCTTAATCGTAGAATTCATTCGTAAACAATCGATCGATATAGTATCGATTATTACCATGTTAGTATTTGTATTAATATTGATTTAGAAACACTGGCTCGCCTTCCTGCGTCTACTTGCATCAAATGAATATTACTAGATCCATACATGTATATATTCTAATGACGTAGTTTTTGTACGAGCTATTTTCGTATATAAAAGGATGAAGGTGTTGATTTGATCTCACTCACTTTACCTAAACTTTTGTATGAAATAAACTTAAAACAAACAAAATGAATCCGTCCGACGGGGGATACATCAAAGGGAAAACAAAACTGTAATTTTATTTAATTCCGAGCATTTCCATATTTATCTACCCTTTAAACCTTCTCTGGACTTTCACAAATAATTCAAGACCAAAATTCGTCAAACCGGTCCAGCTGTTCTCGAGTTTTAGCGTGACTAACGAACAGCAATTCATTTTTATATATAAAGATAAGGGCTGTATTTTATACGTAAAACTATTTTTGTTTTTAATACAGCTTACCTTGAACGGAAACCACGATGAGCACTGTTACAAGAACCAACTTCATAATGCTAATGCGAATAAGTTAAAACAATCAAATAAATAACAAAAATCTTGGAAAACGCGGATATAGTTATGACACGTTACCAACGTCGGTGGCTCGACGCGTTCTAATGCTCACACACAAGTCGATATCAAGGCTTTTATCGTGCGAATTAATATGAGAAACGGTCACGTTGCTAGCGGATTTTGTTGATACTAATTTACTGATTTTTTTTTCGAAGGTCCATCTTGCAAAAAAGTAGTTTTGATTTTAAAAAAATCATTTTTTTATTGCCTGGATGGATGGACGAGCTCACGGCCCACCTGATCTTAAGTGGTTACCGGAGCCTATAGACATCTACAACGTAAATGCCGCCACCCATAAAACCCCATGTATAATATGAGCGAATTGTTTTGTACCAGCTGCTAAGAAGTTAAGATGAAAGATACGGGAAGGGTCTGCAGGCAAATATAATCTGGCAGTCCATGTCCAATGTATTGAAAGAGCTTTCTTTCTTAATACAGGGTAGGAAAACAGAGCTTCCTTCTACCTTGCACAGCGAAGAGAATAAAGGCTTGGCTGTATGGGGTTTTGCTTCTCCCGGTTAACTAAAGTGAGAGTGACGTCACGCTCGTGCATCTGTACTGATCAGCTCTGTTATTGTTTAGTTAAATTCGTGGTAAAACTAGTGTGTATTGTTGCTGGGTTGTTTTAATAGTGTATAACGCTATTAAAATAGTGCTTGTGATAATTTTTAACAAGGTTATTCTTCATAAAACTTTAAATACGAACCTAAAGTTCTATTAGTTTCAATATTACAAGGTTTCGGTACCCACACAAAAGAAAAAAACAAAAGGACACTTATATTTCTTATTTATTCCGCCCAAAATATTAAATCACACAGGTTACTTTAACATCTATATTCCTGTTGTCCATTTGTAAAGCACAAAATAATGGCAAAGTGTGGAGCATGTGGAAAATTCTTGTCAACCGCGGACTGTGCGCGATGTAGTAAATGCAGTGACAATTTTCATAAAGGATGCGTGGCAATCCCTTCTACGGGAGTAGCGCCTCGGGGCTGGATCTGCCCGAGTTGCTTAGCGAAGGTACCTCGTGGGGATAATGCTGCAACTCCTGTGCGAGGGTTGACAGTTGTCGGGGTGCATCAGACTTCAAACGAGTGCGATGTTGATGCAGACACGATGAATCGGTCGCTGGAGTCCCATGTCGACCTTGGCTTAGAAATTCGATCTTTTAAGGATGAGCTGGTGGGCCTAACAGCCTGGCCACGGGACATTCGCCGATGCGAATATTCGCGCGGTGCGAACGGCGAAGCGTCTAGCGACTAAAACAAGCGCATAGAAATGTACCTAACAAGCCACGCGCACCGGCGACCGGCGAAGCGACCGGCGAAATGTACCGAGCGAATCGCGCGATGCGGCGGGCGAGCAAAACAAATGCATGAATACGGACGGCGCGAGNCCTCCACCTATCCGGCACCAGAGAACGCTAAGGTCCTTTAAAACAAATTTAAAAGTATATCTTTTGAATATACAGGAAAAATTCGAAAATATCAAATATAATTACTCCGTACTATAATCAGTTGTGCTTTGCAACTGCAATTTTTATTTAATTAATTTAATAATGTCATTTTGTTGTCCTTTTCATAACTGTTTTTTTTATTTTTTATTACTCATGTTCTTTTTATTTTTTAATATATTTTACAATGATGTGTATTGGTCGGTCTGATGCTGGTGTGCGCGTCATTCCGCAGGTGCCGGCGGAAGATCAGCGCCGCAGTACCGATTGTCTCGATACTGTTAGGCATTGCTGAGCCGGTAACCATTTCCAAGCCTCGTTATTTTTGTTATCTTTTTTTATTTATTTTTTGTACTTAATTTGTGTTTGGAATAAATGTTTATTATTATTATTATTATTATTATAAAGAGTAAATCCTTCACATATAAATAATTTTGCCGTCAGTAATATTACCGTGTCCTTTTTCGATAGCCTATATATTGAGATTCATTTATTCGTACATTTGACTTTAGGTAATTCTGTTTTGGTTGTAGGGATATGAACGCTGTTTTGATCATGCTGTTTGTCCCGGAATATTAAATTATAATTATATTTCAATTTTGTTTGACTACCTGGCCTTATCGGGCTTCATTATAAAAGACTTAGATTTAAACCTTCAATAATATAACTTAATCGTTTTATATGAATAAAATTATATGTTTCTTACCAACATCGAAATATAGTCTACCACTGAAAAGGCCAATGAGAAAAAGATAACATACCAAACCTACCAATTAATAATTACTTTGTTAAAATATTGTGTGTTAAAATACGGGTCGTCTATAATCTATACTAGACAATGACCGTATTTTATTTTTTGATAAATTCTGTTTTTTAGAAATTATATTTAAATACGAATTGCATATTGATAAAACGATGGAATATTGTGTCTTTAAAACAGTTAGTTGCTCTCTATTAAGAAAAATAGTATTATTATTCGAGAATAGATATCGGGAAGAGTCATAAAGTTGGTTATCGATAAAGTTCATTATTGAAGACACGAATAAAACAACATTTTCTGAAAATAAATCGTAGCTAGATCGATTTATCGCCCCCGAAATCCCCTGTATACAAAATTTTATGAAAATCGTTGGAGCCGTTTCCGAGATTCAGATTATATAATTATATATTATACAAGAATTGCTCGTTTAAAGGTATAAGATTAAGGTAAATACACTGTAATTTTAAAATAGTATTTTTCTTAAAAAAAATTACGAGCCACGCGTTTCGTATGAAAGATATAAAACAGCGGTTATATGATATTATTGAAACTATGACTTTTATTATTATTCACTACATGAATTAATGATTTTACCGTTCACCCGATTGATTATATACTGGAACGTATAGAGAGTAGACCGTGCATGATGACCCTTGAGGTCGATGCCTCAAACGCACAACTGTCTCACCCTTCAAGCAGGAACGCATCTCTGCTCTGCGGTAGATGAACGCTAGTGCGTGCGGACTCATAATACGCAATTCTATTTCTTTGAAGCAAATTTTAAAGAATCATATTATTATGGGTAGATAACCGAATTGCGTGAATATATTCAATGCAATAAGTGTGTTACAGCAATGTAATAAATGATTATTATTGTAGTTACAAAATAATAATAACTAGAAACAGTGGTGAGCCCTACAGCTTACTTAAAACAAATTAAAAAAAAAAAGGTTAGATAACTGAATTGCAGGAATGCGATAAGTATGTTATAGCAACGTAATAAATGATTATTATGATAGGCACAAAAATAAATTTTATTAGAAACAGTTTTTATATATTTTAATTGGTAAATCAAGGTTTTATGCAACAAAAACATTTTGCAATTTCTTCTTGTAATCCTTTCGAAATATATTCAGTGAATATGAATCTAAAATGAAACAGGAGCACGTGCGACAGACAGTCACATAACTATCGCTAGTTTATGACTTAGACTTAGTTAAAGTCAAACTAAGTAGAAGTTTTATTCTTTGTTTTCTAATGAACAAAAAAAAATGGATTCTTCAGTCTAAATTTCGTCATTATCCACTCTTAGTTGTGTTTTTAAATACAACCTACTCATGGAACTGTAACCATTTAGGCATTGTTTCAGTCATTACGGTAATCAATTTACATTTATTTGTCTTGTAGTTGACGTAGTCTGTAATATATACATGCCGTTGACGAAATTACAATATATGCTGTCATAAGACGGCCATTAAGCGCTGGACGAGATGTAAAAAGAAGTAAAATATTGCCCCATTGCCTAGTTCAACCTATTGTCGGTACGTGACAGGTGTGCGTTTCAAGTCATGAATTTATTTTGCGTAACATATAGTTAACCGATTTATAATCCGCTACATTTTTTCTGTTGCTGAATTTAAAAAAAACTTCGATCCGAAATTGATGTAGATTTAAAAGTATATCGATAAAGCTGCTATAAGCCGTAATGGTCCAAATTCATTGCATTTTGTCATAATAATATGACATTTCGGTGACGTTGCGTAATATTATTGAAGCATCCTTGCTTCGAAGGTATGAGCCCGCTGAGTTTCTCGCCGGATCTTTTCGGCTGATCGCGATTCCGATCCGGTAGTAGATTCCTACACAAAGCAGCTGCTCTGGAGTTCTTAGGTCTCCTTTGGAGGCGCTCGGGTAGCTGTTAGCAAATCCCACCTTTCCTTTTTTTATTTTTTTATTGCTTGGATGGGTGGACGAGCTCACAGCCCGCCTGATGTTAGGTGGTTGCTGGAGCCCATAGAGATCTACAACGTAAATGCGCCACCCACCTTGAGATATAATTTCTAAGGTCTCAGTATAGTTACTACGGCTGCCCCACCCTTCAAACCGAAACGCATTACGCAAACGCATTTAACGACCAGATTATCCCGAAATTTAAGACTTATATGGTTTTCTCATGAACTGGACCAAAGACAAAAAAAAGCGTCAGCTTTCTAATAAAAAAAAAGAATCATCAAAATCGATTCACCCAGTCAAAAGTTAAGAGGTAACAAACATAAAAAAAAAACATACAGTCGAATTGAGAGCCTCCTCCTTTTTTTAAGTCGGTTAAAAATATAGCACGTGTAACATGTGTAGTCATCTACGTACACGTGTAGTCATCTAGCTGCGTATTTTTTAATTGTCACCACTACAAACATCGTTCTATATTTTTAGCATTACAAAATAAATGGCTTCTCAATAATATTATTATCTTCATTTCGAATTTTCTACTAGCGTGAAGTTGGGGTTTTCCATTAGTACGTCTAAAACGCGTCAACATATAATACAAACATTATTACATCAATTAGAATCTACGTTTAGTAACACAGATTTGTTTCTAGTGCTTTAGTTCGTCGGTGATAAAATATTTGTTTGACAAAATATGGTGGCTGTGGTTTTATGTCCACACACTTCTTAGAATCTGTTGTTATTATTGTTATTATATTTATTAATGACGTTTTATTACAACGATGGGTGATCAAGCTCCCGTTCCACATCGCGTAAGTGGTTATCGGAAGTTTTAAAAGGTAGATAAATATGAAAATGCTCGCAATGAAAT